CGGGAGAAGAGTTTCTGCGGCGGAAATTCCCTGCTCGATATTATTTTTTACCCTCTTGACGGGGCGCGGTGGCGTCTGTTGTAATATCGTTTTGCGGCGTTTTTCTCCAACCGGAATAACAAAAAAAAAATGTACCTTCGGCTGTTGTTACAGTTTCCGATTTTTTACTTATTTAATTTGTTGTGCTTAATACACGCAATACCCGCGCATGCGTATAAAATGTGTACGGAGGCTATTTCAGATTAAAATTATCTGGGTACGTACAGTGGTGTAACCAGAATTTTTTTTGTGATAATTCTATCTGATATACAAATTTTCCACCCTCCCCAGATACGTATCTCGGCGACTATACTTTATTATCGCTGTTTCCTATTTGTCGAAAGCGGGGAGCTGCTCAATATAATAGGTATTTTTACTATACTATATTATAGTTAGTTTGATTATCTGTTCATATATATATGTACATATTATACGCGTATATAACAGCATCATAGGCATATGACACGCGTTCAGTCGAGACCAGCATCGAACTTCATCAAATCCTACCGGATTCGTCGACGACAACTGGTAAAATTCGATTCCGAAAAGTGTCATCGATGTATTTGGACAATTTTACGATACTGTCCGGTACCTCCTACTGGGTAATAACTATAGGTGTAGTATAATAAATAGTACCTTCTATCACCATATGCGATGTGTAGTCCATGTTCACAGTTTTTTTGTTACTCAAAAATCTAATTGAATTGATTATATCTAGCGATTTCTCTATACTTAAGTCGGGTAAACTGCCACGTAATCTGTCGCGTTGTGTGATGCCTATTATCGCATTCAGATGGTCTGTTGTAATCTTGGTAATGTGGTATCTTACACTAACTATGATTTGCCGGAAAATTTCTAGAGTTGGACCGAGCTTAACTTTTGGACACGATACGACTGATGGCGTGGTTTTGAACCCGGGCTTTTAGTCATCTGGAGACCTCAACACTCATCACTCATCAATGTGTACAATAACCTGACCGCAAACTGAAGTATATAATTGAATATTTTCGACTATTTGATATGTTATGGTAACGTGTTATCCACACAGTGGTTTACATGGAACATAGTTATAGTGGAATAGTACCTTTTGGAGACATTCGTCCACGGCATCGATGACAAAAGAACTAAGGCGAATAATTTAATAATTATCAATCAAACTATATTCATAGTCAGTGTGCCGTGATAAGCGATTTTTCGCCTCTACTTCTGATACGTCCTATATGCCATATTGTCCTATCCATCCCTTTATTACTTTTGTATATGACGTCGTTTTGTTCCAATTTAAATGTTATAAATTAGACATTAGCTTAGTGTTAGGTGACGAATGGTCACGTGCATGTTACCGGGTACCGATCTATTATAATATATATCCTGCATTCCCACAGTATAATATTATTAATTTTCATTTCTTGGTATTAATTAAACAAGCCATTAAATATTCGTTAACGCGTATAGTTTTTTTTTTCACACACCGCACGACTTGATGCATTAGTGAAAAAAAAATGCGATTAAAAACCACGCAGGTGACAATTGAATATATTATTATGGTTTTCAGACGTTTGCCTTAAAGGGGTTCGATCGCCAATAATTAGTTTAATATGTTATTTTCTTAACGATCAATTTCGACCAGCGAACAATTTCAGTCATTCAGCACTTGTATATAATATTTCGGTACCGACGGGCGATCACGAGTATGTTACTTAAAATGTATACCTTAATAATAATGATAGTACGTGTTATTATTATTATTATTATTGTATTATATTGCTAGGAAAACGAGATACATGTATGTGATTTGTAAACTTTATTCAGTTGATTTACACGGTATATGGAGGTCAAACTCATATATTAAATAATATTTTGTGCACAGTGTTACATTACTCGCGTATATATATTTATAATATTATTATTATTATTATTATTATTATTATTATTATTACACGTACGCGACGACACTTTGGTATAATAAATCGTGTGATTTATTTATAATATTAATAATAACAACGATATTGTCATTCGAATACCGTGGCGGCGATTATCGGTGTATTGGTACGGACACAGTGCGCAGCTATCACCTACCCCCGGCATGTACAGCAGTAAACACCTGCTCGATTAGCGCGATTAAAATATGGATAATTAATCGCAGTCGTTCGAAATGTATATCATTACTGTTCTTTGTTGTAGCAAAAATGTTGTATTCAAAATTTCAAATACTATTTAGATTACCAATTTATACGGTGTTCCTCAACTATGAACATGTGACCCTCGGTGTTTTCGGTTTCATCAGTCTTAAAAATTAATAATATCATATCAAAGAAACATGCGAACATTTTAATGCAAAAAACTAATAATTCTACTTACATTTTACTTTGGCCATTATATAATCGGTAACATTACTATATTATAACAATATAATGTATAAGAACATTTTCAAAATTTGGGGGAGGGGAAAGTTTTAAAACCCTGGGAGAAAATGTCAAAATTACGATATTATAATAATACAACAATATCGTATACATGTTTGGTTGTAGGTATCTGCATTGTGTAGTTGTGCCTGTGTGTGGACTTTAAAATGTGAACCTCACGATACATCATAAATTATAATATTATAATAAACTAGTCACCAAAACACTTAAACCCACGACATTTTTAATTTTTAAAACATGATAATTAATTGTTTCAAAATACGCTGCTCGAAATTCGATTTGTCGCTATTTTTTTGTGATGGAAACATATTATTTTATCAGGATCCTACGTAAAGTTGGCATTACAATATTAGATATGTGCACAATCTTACAAAAACCATCCGCAACAACGCTCACATGGACTCGTGGGAAAGTTTGTACAAGGTTTCAAGTTCTAGCGCAATTGCAATCCTAGCCTTGAACTTGGCATTACAAAGTTAAAAGTTAAATATACAAAAAAATGTGTTTCTAGAAATCCCCAACAAGTGTCAAACAATATAGAATAAGTGAGTGCTCACATAATATTGTTGTATGGTTTTTATAAGATTATGTTGCAAAAAAATTATATATTATGTAATTCCAATTTAACATGTACCTAATTTTATCGGTATTTTAAAATTCATGTCGATACTTTATCAAACATTTAGTTTGATCTTATGATGGACAATTCATTGTATACAATTTTCTATTTAGTAATATAAAAAAATCTCAAAAATCTTATTTCTGTGGCGTATGATATATGACAGCTTTTTGCATACCATCCTATAAATATGTAGAGGATACATAAACATACTTATAAATGTATAATAATAATATTTACATCGAAACGATACTTCCACTCCTCTCAAAGTACGTAAAATACCGTATTGGACATCGGATATGTCGTGGGTACCAGGTAATAATAATAATAATAATAATAAAACATTACGTGCACTGCCGGAGTGCCGTATATACAGTTAACATTTTACATAGGCAGGTGTTAAGATAATAAATATTGTGTATTATAATGGCAACAACGTCGGGGGATTATAAGAGTCTGAAACCGGATGAGGTCCACGACAAAAAAATTTACCCATGGCGAGAAATGATAAGGAAAAAAAATAATTATAACGCGACAATAACCTATAACTGTGGAATGATGGCCCACCCGTACTCGATACAAATATACTGTTCCCGAGGAGACTCGTTTATTGTCTCGTACCTTTATTTTCTATTTCCTGTGTGTACTGGGTTGTAAGTACAAAAATATGTTTTTTTTTCTTTTGCTCCTGACAATCCCAAACCCACCGCCTACGTCGTCGCTCGCACGTTCTCGCTCGCAAACTACCTACCTATATCTATACCTAAAATATCGAATGGACATATTTTGATAAAAGGGACCTATAAGTCACGTATTCCAGCAAAATAGTTTCAAGTGAAATTATTTCGAAGGATAGGTGGTAACTCGGTATAAACACGTAGTTTTGTGTAAAAAAAACCATTGATTATATCATTTTTGTTTGTGTTCAATTATTTTCAAATATTCATGACAACATATATATAATATATAAATCATTTGTTAAAAGGTATGGCACCCATAACCCATTTGACAGGTCTATGTTAATAGTAGTACCTGAATTATATACATGCACATTTTTAACTTACCAGCAGCAATAAAAATGTTGAATTTTTATATTTGTATTTTACCTAACTATGTTATTTATTTCAATGAAATAATACATAAAATAAATTAGAATTCGTTAATAGGCATCTATATAATACGTCACTGCATGATAGTTTTTTGTGATTTAATAGATATCATAACGATGGGTCTTAAAAAACAAATTAATACGAACAAAACCCTGTTTTGTTTTTTATGAAAAGAAATAGTTGTGAACACATGTCCCTTTTAAATAATTATTTTTTTATAGTTAAAAATGCGTATAAGAAATGAATCGCTTCGTCAGCGTTGCCGCTAATCGGAAAAATGATTGAAAATCAAACACTTAACATTACTAAAGAATACGAGTATTATTTAATCATTGTAATTACTGATCGTTGTTTCAATTCATGTACCTACCTAATTGTAGTACCTGTATAACCATATAGTTAATTCCTATTATTGGTTATTCGATGTGATGTAGAATCTTTATAAATATTTAATTTATGGGTATTATATAATCTTGATTATTGACAGTTAGAAATCACCACATTCGGGTGGGATACTAGTAGGGCTAAGTCTAAGGGTGGAATTTTAAATTACAACGTTTAATGGGCGGGATTGAAAAAAACAAACGATAACGCACTGGCGGCTGTTATCAGTAATTTCAGCTGTTATCAGTAGAAACGGATGTTACCCGTCGTTCCGTGTGTTCTGTGTTTTTGCATTTTGGAGTTAAGTTTCGAACAGTTTTCGATTCCCTTATCGCTTCCTAGTTCCTAGCGTTTATTTCTCGATTGAATTCGTCATGACATTGTTATTTGCTATCAACTGACGACCCTATATTTGTGTTACAGGACGCAACGAATTGATCGCCAGGTACATAAAACTTCGCACCGGCAAGACACGGACGCGGAAACAAGTCAGTTCTCACATCCAAGTGTTGGCACGCCGCAAGCTGCGTGAAATCCAAGCCAAACTCAAAGTGGTGAGTACCAAAACCTTTCTTCGGTGTCCGATGCACCTCCACTTCAATCTTATATATTTCTTGTTGTCGTTCGCCAAACAATATTGTTTTATTATTATCATCATCGCCGTCGTTGTTGATACATTTTGTGTAGACACCCATGGTGGTTTTTTTTTGTAATTTTTCTCATTAGTGGATTAGTCATGTATTTAAGTGTGTTAGAGGTAGAGTGTAACGTGTGTTGTGGGGCTATAGGTTGTACCCACGGAGCATGCGGCCAAGGAGAAGGCGTTACAGACCATGTCGGCAATGTCCAGTGCGCAGATTGTGTCGGCATCAGCAACGGTCGCAGCTATACACTCCAAGGGATTAGCCAGCTTGGCGTCTTATCCACCTGGCGCGCCGCCCCCGCCGGTGAGTACACAATGCTCCCAACGCACGCTACCTCTTGTATTCGTTTGCTTCTCTCGTAGCTTATTTGCCATCCGTAGCTTGTGTTGTTGTACTTGTGATTTACCAATGGTGTTAACTAACGTTTATTTTGTTATTTTTTTACAGTTTTGGCAACCAGGATTACAGCCAGGCACATCCCAAGAGTAAGTATACACTAGTAGTCTAGTTTAATATATTGAGAAATCCAATCTAATATTGTTGCAATTACCTTACAGTGTTAAGCCATTTGCTCCTCAAGGGTATTCAAGCGGCGGATCAACAGGTCTTAAACCCCCGTCTACTGCTGTATCGTCTGAAATCCAACCACCCAGTGTCCCACCTTGGGATGGTAGAGCAATTGCAACACACAAACTGCGTTTAGTTGAGTTTTCCGCTTTTATGGAACACCAACGAGAACCAGAAATAGTGAGTACCTTATCCAATGCTTACATATCCTTCGTATATGCATACAGTGGTTAAATTGTAATTTTTGTCAACAGTATCAAAAACATCTTTTTGTTCATATTGGAGGACCAGTGAGTTATTCAGATCCTTTATTGGAAGTGAGTGTGTTTGATATTACGTATATTTTATTATTATGTACTTTAACAATACATAATATTATATATTATAATGCATTTTTGTTTCTAGTCTGTGGACGTGCGACAGATATATGATAAGTTCCCAGAGAAGAAAGGAGGCCTTAAAGAATTATATGACAAAGGTCCCCAAAACGCATTCTTCCTCGTTAAGTTCTGGGCAGATCTCAATTCGAACATTCATGATGAAGCTGGTGCTTTCTATGGCGTCACTAGCCAGTAAGTGTCTACTCAACTAAGAATAATTGAGATTAATTTGATGTTCAATGGATTTTTTTTTCTCTTTCAAGATATGAGAGCTCTGAAAACATGAGTATAACGTGTTCAACTAAAGTTTGCTCATTTGGCAAACAAGTAGTGGAAAAAGTGGAGACAGAATATGCCCGATTCGAAAACGGTCGGTTCATCTACCGCATACACCGGTCACCTATGTGTGAATACATGATCAATTTTATACACAAGCTCAAACATTTGCCCGAGAAATATATGATGAACTCTGTGCTGGAAAATTTCACTATATTACAGGTAAAATTGTGTTAATATTGAGTTACAGAGTAATTCTTGACAACAATATCTCGATCAGTGTTTGATAATTTGGTTTGTCCTCACATCCCCTAGGTGGTTACCAACCGAGAGACCCAAGAGACTTTACTTTGTACCGCTTACGTCTTCGAAGTATCCACGTCAGAACATGGCGCACAACACCACATGTACAGACTGGTCAAAGACTAAGAATATGTTATACATTAACAATGAACTATCAAAATAAGTCGATTGGTGCTGTTTGGTTTCAGTCGTACCTTTATTTATTTGAGAGACCTTCCAAATGATAAACGTATCCCAATCGATAATTTTATTTTGTTTGTAACTACCCAATACCAAAATACTCTCTTTATGAAGGTAATGTTTACCTAATCAGATAATTATTATTATTATTAATTTTTATTATTATTATTATTATTATTGTTCTTAATGACTTGTATAACCAAGGGGGTCAGTCTATCTGCCATTATTCTGAGATTATTGTGTACTTTTTTTTATCCCTTTGATTTTTACCAGTTTTTTCACTAATTTATTATTAGGAATTGTGTTGTATTATTGTAAAATGGAAACACCGAATAATTTATTGATGTGCAGATATCATCTTATGACTTGCCGCCTACAACTGGTGACTGTTATCATTGAGTAAGAAATTATGACCGAGGTTTTAAGGGTTTAAAATAAATTTGAAATTATTACGTTTTTTGTACTTAAAAGTTAGGTCGACTGAATCCTGTTGCAATTCTTATTGGATGTTGTAAAAACTATGTAATTTTGTAGATTAATTTGTATATAAATAGAAATATATTACTATATATTATATTATTTTAAAAAATGAATAAAACAAACAAACTTTACAAAAAAATTTTAAAAAAATGAAACGTTTTTAATGTTTAAAAACATAGAGAATAATGTGTTTTATATTATTATTTTTTTTTTTGTTTCCAAGATTTATTAGTTTTTACATTGTAAAATTATACTTAGAAATGATTTCATTTGATCTCTGGGTTTTTCCTCAAACAGTGTTTGAAAATTAAGAAACAATAATAATATATATAATATTACACTTTTTATTTATATTTTATTGAAATTTTATTTGAAAAAAAAAATGTTCAAGATATTTTTATTATTTTTTTGATTTTATACTTTATTTTTCGCATATATATACTATTATTGTAAAACATACTCTTGGACATTGTAAAGTGAACTAAATGTTTTTGATCCATATATTTATAAAAAAAAAATAATAACTGATTATCAATGAAATGTTACCAAAAACTAAAAACATTGAACCGTGTTCCGAGAAAAAGCAAACACGATTCATTGAGTCCAGTGAGTTGAAAAACCAAAATGAAATTCTACTTAAGGAAAGTGTATATGATAATTACGTGAAATCGATATTTAATAAATATATTATTTGTGTATTGTGAAATTATTATACTGGTTAACTGTTGACAGCTATTATCAGTATTTTTTGATGATGTATGTAAGCATATTATTTTATGTTAATGTGCAATGTTATAAAAGTTTAATAATTATTTTGTATATTTTATATTTTATTTATACATATTTTAACATTTAAGTTGAACTCTATTTTTTTTTTTTTTAACTATAATTTCTTTTTCTTTGTGAAAAAAAAAATTTTAACTAATAATTTTTTTTTTGTGTCCATTAGTCCAAAATGTGTGCAAGTGTACAAACGCTTCCTGAAATCGCCTTTGTACACTTTTTTTGAAATGAATAAAAAAAATTATTTATTTTTTTGATAAAAATTTTATTCGTCTGAATCATTCTACAGAGCACGAAGGAATTCATAATTATTATTTAGACAACTTCTTGCAATATAAAAAAACAAATAAAAACAAATACCTGAACCATCACCAGTGACGTAGCCAGAGGGGGGCGGACCCCCCTCCCTAAATTTTTAGTAAAATGTATTTTGATACTGAAATTAAAATTCCGCGTACTACAAACAAACAAAATTATAGGGATAATTTTAAATTATAATATTTTTGTTCATGTAATTCACTAGAAGAGTATAATAAAATATCTGTATTGTTACCATGTTTATAAAAAAAAAAAAAAATAGATGGTTTCATTTTACATCTCGAAAATAGGTTTGAACAGAATAATGATATTTTATCGTCAATAGAAATATTGTTATCAAACTTCACCTTAGAAAAAACTGTTGAAAACACTGATTTTACATTTAAAAAATGTATTTTGTTATTTGCGAGTTGTCACTTAAAAAAAGGTTGATCATGTATGTGTGGCTAATGATTGCCTATTGATCCATAATGTAGTGAAATTATCTGTCGTAATTTTAGGATAATGCTAACCATAATTTTACTAGGCTGTTTTAAATATGGAACTTTATCAAATCAAGGGAAAATGTTCTGTATTAAAACTGACTGGATGTAAAAAAACAAGTAATAACACTGGTTATTTGCTGGCTTTCTATTGCAGGTTTTTGAAGTATGATTGTTGTATGCACTATAAACATTGTACTAAATGATATTTTAGAAGAAAAAAACTAAAATTTATGGAAATAAGTAAATCTATTTTAATGGCTAAAATTAATGCTCAACATCAACACACTAAAATTCTTCAGAAGGTTACAAAAAGATATTTCTAAATTGATCAATAAACACATAAAGGTTTGTTAATTTTAAATATAATTAGAAAATCTTTTACGAATTTCTATAAAAAAAAAACCCATCATTTTTGTTGTAATCTAACTGTTTCTGATATGTTTTCCCAAAAACGCACCCTGAAACCATTTAATAATCCATGAACCATGCGTGTATTATCTCCATCTAATGACAAATATTTTGGTTCTTCTGCGCTTGTATTTTTCCATTCGAAACATAAATCTTGTGAATTCGGATTTCTAAAATTCAAAAAACAATTTACTCTGGACTCAATGAAAAATAAAAATGCAGTAAATATTATGTAAATGAATGTTCTGATCATAATTCATAAACCATAATTTCAAACACACCCAGTTTTGGCAAAATTGGTCCACAGTTTACTCAATGTTCTACACATTCTTAATTCTGGTGAATTGGCTTTGGGTGCAAATCCAAATATCCGTCCATAAAATAAATAACTCAATTCGTCAGCATGACATGCACCTATAAAATTTATTAACACACAATTCAGTATTACATAGATAAAATATGATAACATTATGTGTTCAGTAGAATATAAGATTGAAAATAAACATTTGTTACCTTTTAATGATTGAAAAGTTGGCCTTAAAGAAAACATAATGTTTTTGCAAATATTGATTTCTCCATCAAACTTGAATTCATAAGTGTAAACTGATGAGATATTTTTTTTGAGTAAATGATCATAACCCCGATGAAAATCTTTAGAAAAATATAAATCACTGTAGAGCTAACCAAAACAAAATCAAATTCTAAACATTATTATTTTGTAATATTTTAATATTCGGTTTAAGAAGAAAAACAAATTCATAGTTTGTTTTTGCATTTTGGTACACTCACATGACATATATTTTCCAATCTAGTAGTTCCACATTCCAGGTTACATTCATTGAAGTAAAAATTCTTAACTTTATTTACAATCTCTTTACTATAGGTACTTTGAAGTAATTCATTAATTTCTTCGGTGTCACCTAGAATTTTCCTCATTCTATGCTCTGAAAATTAGAATGTGTCAATCAATTTAATGTTTTATTTTTTATATGGCCACATAAATAGTTCCACTTTATAGTTTATATTTTATACGGTACTAAAGACGAAAATATACATACAAATGTACAACAGTAATCTCTAAATAGTGAATATAGAATAGTTTAACCTTTCTTATTGTGTATTAACTCATAAAATGGATTTCTTTCCATTAAATAATTATTGCATACCATTTGGAATTTATAAATTATAATAAAAATAAAATAAATTGTACATTTGTATTTTGTATGAAACTTCAATTTATTTATCCAAACCAAAATTTGGAAAAAAATGTGTTAATTATTAGGTTACTCAAATAATTTGCCTCCAAAAGCTATCAATCCTTCCATGTTGTTGATTCCAGTTATTACAGGTACAGTTGATGCAGTTTTGACTAAAATTTCAGGATGAGCAGGTAAAAATTTGTCACTAACCGCTTCACTTTCAACAGACGGAATAAACTCATAATTTTGAAAATCAGTTTTGCCCTTTTAAAATAAAACATTTTTAATGTTTGTTATAATAAATTGTAAACAATAGAAAATATTTGAAAATGAATCAAGTAGGTACATTTGGAAAATCTTTTTATTTAAATCAACATTTTGTGCCACACTTAATACCAGCTAAACTCACTTCAGACACTCTTCATGAAACCAGTTCAAAAAAGCGTCTTATGCGGCTATAAGTAGTATAAAAAAGTCTAGAAACAGGCAAAAAACAATATCATGTACCAGGAATTAAAAATTGTTTTTAGATTATCCATTTTGACTCAATGACATAATTTTTGGTATAATCTTCCAATAAGTAATAAGTTATTGTTTATTAAAATTATTACTAATATCATATTTTTTATTTTCAATTTAAAATAGTTAATTTATTAGTCTCACTTTTAAGTTAATATTTTATTATCTTAAAGAATTAAATTTATTGTTAGGTATAGTATATATTGGTAATAAAGTTAGTAAAATATGTTTTTGTTACATTAATATACCTATGTTGGTCGAGGAGAGTCAAAAATAAATAGTTACACAACAATAACATTTTTTTGAGAAATGTTACTATTTAAACACCAGTAAATATATTTAAATGGAATGCAAAAAATACTTATTTATGAGGTTAAATCAGTTTTAATTGAAAAATATTATCGTTTTTAAAAAACAATTTTATCTGCTTTATGCATAACTACCTCAATTTTAGTCAACTTGACGATGTCGATGGCTGGGACATTGAGCAAGTATTGAACAATTTCTTTAGGGTCGACTTTTTCACAACCTAAATTTTTGGCTAACTTAAAAGCTGCTTCTCTATGTTTTTCAGTGAATGCCCATGAGTTAAACATACATCCACTTTGCATGATGGCTTTTTGAAATAATCCTAGTTTTAAAATAAAATATAAATATTCTAGTATTATTTAATATATTCTATGATTCTAAAACCTAAAATTGAGTATCTAATTTCAAACAATACGAGTGCACACAACCAATAATATCGAAACTCAACCTTTGGATTGTGGAGACATCATGTGACAATGAACAGATGCTGATCCTGCACTCTCTCCAAAAATTGTTATGTTTTGAGCATCACCTCCAAATGCAGTGATATTAGCTTTTACCCATTTAATTGCAAACAGTTGATCTTTTAAACCCATATTGCCAGGACATTCATCAATATCAAAGTTAAGGAATCCTAAACACAAAATCAACAGGTTATTTGTTTTATTATGAAATTAATAACATAATATTATTATTTAATTAGTTACAAAAAAAAAATTATATTAATTTTTAAATGAAATCACCTAGAGCGTTCAAACGATAGTTGATTGTGACTATGATTACATTTTCATTAATCAAATAATCAGGAGAGTAAAAATCTGATGATGCAGATCCGTTGTTAAACGCACCACCATGTATAAACACCATAACTGCCTTTTTTTCTTCTAGTTCTTCCTAGTAAGATGGCCAATCACAAAAAAAATTTTATTGATATCACTATATCAATGCCTACATTCTTATGGAATTATTTTTCTAATACATACTTGAGGCACAAATATGTTTAAATATAAACAATCTTCACTTCCAGCAATTTTGTTCTTTATGAAAGAATACTGCATGCACATATTTTCTACTGAAAATGCTTTCAGTATGCCAGACCATCCTGGATGTTTGACAGGAGGCTGTAAAATGTAAAACATTAACAGTAAAACCTCAGGTTGCATGAACAATCGCTTAACATTTATTGACTCAATAATGATCCTAACTAAACATGATTTAGGGGCCCGTGATTGGTCCATTAAATTAATTAACTGTTCACGTAACTCAGCATAAACTAAGTAAATAGTTAAATATAATGTTTTCAAACACAATATGTACAATATTATATTACAAATATATATTTTTATCAATATGATCTAAATTAAATGTATTTGCTTTAAATTATATTGTGTGAATACAATATTATACACTGCTATTATATTTCATAATTAAAAAAAATCCCACCTTAAATCTCAAGTTTCCAACAGGTGGTTTAGCATAGGGTATGCCTAGAAAACTGACATAAGGCTTATTTGAAGCTTGTGTTTTGTAGTGAAGTCCTTGTAAAGTACCTTGCTCAATAATAACAGTCGTTTTCTTTTGAGGCTAGAAAATATAATGTTTTATACTTATTTACATTTTATAATTATTACCCACAAACAATTTCTTATAACATAAATAAATTTAAGACTATGTGTATAAGATAGCGATTTTATTGTTTAAAATGAAAGTGCATTTCTCAAATGTATAATTGAAATTCTTGAGAGCCAGATAGTATGCACTCATAATCAAGAGCAGCCAGATCAGTCATAACCAATCTGGGGTCCGAAAGACCTCAAAATCAAAATCAAAAATCACACTAGCTTAGTAAAATGTATTTAATTAGGTATTATACATCATAAAATGTCAAATTATACAAATTACATACTCATTCCACCTTTAGCAAGAAATAGGTCGAGTAAAGAAGCTATAAATCATTATTACAATGAGTGAATGTTAAACGTTCGGCACGGTTTTCAGAGGATTATCTATACAAGACCATACCTTCAGGTATCTAACAACAGTGTTGGACAGAAATCCCTTAAACTTGTTGAATGTGATAGCGGCGATGAAACGCCATTTGATGAATGTCCTCCATAGTTTTGACATGATCAAATCAAAAAGGATTTCTGGTTTGAATCAGAACAATTACAGTCAAGTAGATAGATGGACATCTGACACAGGAGCGCACCAACAGTATCACAAATACATCATGGATAGCGCTTTAAACTATTAAACATCTCATCCAAATTCTACCCTAGACAGTTGGATCTCTCGAGGTCAAAATTTCACAATAGTGCCCGGCCACGTCACGCTTGGTAAGATTTTAGCATTTACAGTCAAAAGTGTCGACACAAAAATAATGTATGTACATTGTATATTAATGCAGAAACATTTATTAGAAACAACCACATTGTCCACATTCGATAAGACGATAACAGAACATGATTGTGGTACAGAATAAATTGAATTAAATTGAATTATTTATTTACTCTGTGATCGCACTATCGCAGCAAGCACGTGCACCGGTCTCGACCGAACTCGACCGACGTCGACCGATATCGACTCAAATTGACGTGAGTCGTGATTCGTGTATCGTGATGTCACGTTGTCTATGGTCAGTACACGGTTCCATCTGAAATCACAGATTATAAAACAAAACTAAATATAATCTGTGCTAAGACCATGAGTGATGCCGGCGATGGGTCTGTCCAATTACCGATCGACACACCACAGCCTCAATCTGTACTCATCAATCACCACTGTATGAATGTGATTGGGAAAAATTCCCCTAAAAATAAGGTGAGTACAAAGTATAAATACATATTCACTTACACGTTATATAATAGTTAAATATATTATATTATTTGGAATATAATAAAACCAAAAATACTATAGCTAAGCACATATATAGTATTAAACATTCAGAAATGGGGGGGGGGGCAGGCAAAGACCCCCACGGGTCTGAAGTAAATAATTTTTCCCAGTTTTCAAATAATTGTTGGATGTTGGATTGAGCTCCTCATCTTAATCATTCCCAATTCGAGCACTGGCCACTGGGTACATGTTTAATACACATACTCCGTTTGTCGAGAGAATGTGGTTATTCCGGGCATCTGACTGATGTTAATTGCTGAGAAGTTGAGATTTGGGTGTTTGCGGCGGTGTACGAGTACGGAGTTTTACGACAAGTTATCGTTTGCATGTAACCACATTTTCTCGGCAAACGGAGTTGCGATGAGCTAACAAAATGTAAATATTACAATAAGTAATGAACACTGCGTTAATGTACCTATTTTGCCTATATTATACGCCGGGCAACACTTTATGTTCACGTGAAGTACAGGTAACTGGTAAGTGCTGTATATTATGTCTATTGTCTATATGTCTTACTGTCTTAGTTAATGGGGACGTTGGGTGGACCGAGGCAGTAATTTTTGTTTGTATTAACCATAAATTCAAATAATACAAATTTCAACAATAAATAGGTTAAAAAAATATGATACAGGAATATTACTAAAATCAATTATTCTAACATATTTGTTTTTTACTATGTTAATTTGGTGCTTCAATTGGTTCGACAAATAAAGGTCGTGCTTGTGGTTACATGTCTAAAATTAAAGTGAATATCAATAAATAAAAGTTGTTTACTAAATTCTGATTATTCGTATATTATACATTTATTTATTTTTATTAAGGTACTTTCGTCATATTCAGACAGTTGGGCAAACATTTCTACCCATACCTCTACAATATCAGATCTGAGTGGTCTGACACTAGGGACTTGCTCTCTGGCCCTAATATAATCTATAGGACCTTTGAAATCTCCTTGGACGTACTCCACCAATACCATGTATTCTTTGTTGACCTTGTTCATCTTGAAGACAAGTATAGATTTTATCTAATAAATCTTATTTATAATGTTATTAAGTTTGATAAACTAATAATATTTTTACTTCCAGGAATACGAGCTCTACCTCGACTTTAATCTTTTGGAATAATTTGATGATCCATTAGTTAGCTGGAGGTGAAAAAACCATAAGAACTAAATTTGAAATCTGAAGATCATTTGTAATACATCAATGTTAAGATTTTAAATACAAAACAATTTTAAATTAAATGTAACTAATATCTAAGCCACTGCAATTCGTATTTTAGGGGGCCTATTACAGTTCACATAATATATTAACGAGTGAATATCTTGTGTTATCTTGTGGTTTGTCGGCAATATAAATGTTGGGTGCCTGGAATATACTGAAATGCAACCAAACATACAACTAAATACAAGGTTTCTTATTACTAGTCTTTCAAAAATCAGTCATCCAGCAGCTTTGGTCACCCAACTTCAAACCATGTAAAAACTATAGTTTTAAGATATTTCGATGACAGACAAAGTTTGGGGTTTTGCCATTAAAGCTTAAGTCACCACAAAAAAATTGGATATTTGTGACTATGGTTACTGATTCATAACAATAATCATCATAACAATTACATCATCGTGTAAAATGAAACACTCTTAGGATTTCACAATAGGCACTTGTAAAAAAATTGATTAAATGTTAATACTTGAAGAACAAGAAAGTTTGTTTGCTAGCTTTAAGCAAAAATCAAAGTTTGAGAAAACCAGAAATTGTATGCACTAAACTAAATGTAGTTTTGGAAGAGTAAAAAATGTAATTTTAAAGCAAGGTATGAAAGAAATGTAAAACTTTTCTTATGATTTAAAATATTTAAATTAATACTTATGCCTACCTAAGATCATAGATTTAGAATCAACTGATGTTACATTTTTTTGTATTAAGGATAATTTATATATTAATATATACCTACATTAAAAGTAATTAAGTGTTCTGTTTTAATTGTGTGTGTTTATTAATGTAGGTAAGTCCGTCGGTAGAGATTGGCGAGTATACAACAATATTTATTTCTAGTTCAAAAAATGTTGCCAATTTGAAGAATTAACACTAAGGTCATATAAGTTAATTCAAAATGCATTTGGTTAGTACTTTACACATTTAAAAAACAATAAATTATAGTATAATAAAAGAATCATAATTTTATTTTTGTTGCAATCCAACAGTTTCTGATATCTTTTCCCAAAAACGCACCCTGGAACTGTACAATAATCCATCAATCATCTGCGTATTGTCTCCATCTAATGACAAATATTTCGGTTCTTCTGCTCTCGTATTGCTCCATTTGAATCTTAAATCTTGTGAATTCGGATTTCTAAAATTCAAAGAACAATTTACTCTGGACTCAATGAAAAATTGAAATGCAGTAAATATTTTGTAAATGAATGTTCTGATCATAATTCTTAAACCATAATTTCACACACACCCAGTTTTGGCAAAATTGGTCCACAATTTACTCAATGTTCTACACATTCTTAACTCTGGTGAATTGGCCCTAGGTGCAAATCCAAATAGTCGTCCATGAAACAAATAGCTCAATTCGTCAGCGTGACACGCCCCTATGAAATGTTTCATCACACCAATTCAACATGACGTAGAATAAAATTATAATATTATGCAGTGTTCTGTAGAATGATAATAAATAAAATATTTTACCATTTAATGGTTCAAAAGTTGGTCTCAGAAAATAGAGCAATTTTTTGAAAACATTAATTTCTCCATCAAATTTGAATTCGTAACTATAAACCGGCGTGACATTTCGTTGGAGATAATGTTTATAACTGAGATGAAATTCTTTAGCAAAATAGAAATCACCGTAAAGCTAAACAATAATAAAAACACTCAGTATTTAAAAAAAAAAACATGTCATATTAAAAATAAAATAACCACTTCATTCATACATTTTGACAACAGTAGGTAGTGAAGACTGTTAAAATCAGAAATCACAATTATTATAATAAAATAATATTTTGTGTGTGCAATATATATAACTTAAAACAAATTCTTCAAGAGGATTACCTACTCGCACCGTGTGTTGTCTCTGTTATACTAACAGACAACAGTCATTAAAATTCCATTTTACATTGTTATTTTTATATTTTTATAATATTTTAGCAATTTAAAACTAGTAATTAGCATTTAAAACTTTACAGTCGTATCAATATGCGCTAGTTATATGTTTTTTAGATAACACATCCTCTTAAACAATTTGTCTTATAAATTTTTTTTTTTTTTATTACTTAATTTATAATTCCACAATCTGTTACATACATTTTGAACAATAAGTGAAATTTATGAATTAGATAACTATGGCGTTTTATAAATTATAATTATATTTTATTATAATATGGACAAGAAAACAAATTCATAGAGCACAATATTTTGACCTTTTGGGTTTTTTTTACACTAAAATTACTACTTACATAACATATTTTTTCCAATCTAGTGGTTCCACATTCTATGTTTCGTTCATTGAAGTAAAAGTTCTTTATTTTATTCATAATGCCTTTGGTATAGCCATATTGACTTTTAAATAATTTGTTGGTTTCCTCTGTATCATTTATAAATTTCATAATATGAGGATCTGAAAGTAAAAATGTAACAATAAATATTGGACTTTTTATAATTGCCACATAAATATGAATACTTTATGCCTACTGAGTACAGATGACAATGTATTTAAAAAAGTACAACTGTTACCTTTAAATAATTATCAATAATTTTATCTTTCTAGATGTGTATAATTTCATAAAGAGAGTTTGTTCTTAAACTACTTATTACATAGCATTTATACAAAAATCAATATAAATACTAAACTTTTATGATTTTTCAGTTTTAGTTAAAAATGTTGACCATTCAATAAAAATATGAATTAACTGTTAAGTATATTGAATCAAAATACAATTTACCTCCCAAAGCTAACAGTCCTTCCATGTTGTTGATTCCAATTATTACAGGTACTGTTGATGCAGTTTTGGCTAAAATTTCAGGATGAGCAGGTAAAAATTTGTCACTAACCACTTCACTTTCAATGGACGGAACAAAATCATAATCTGGATTTGTTTTAGCCTTTTAAAATACAATTTTTTTAGTACTTGTAGGACTAAATTTCATATATTAATCAACAATTTAAAGTAAATAAAGTAATTAATGCTTTCTGCAAATCTTTTTTCTTAGATTTTGGATCATTTTCTTCAATATACCAACACTTTACCAGAGATTAAAAATGTTTTTAATTTGTAGATTTTAAATCAATAAAATAATTTTCGTTCTGGGTATTTAATAAATGTTTTAAAATTTTTGTTATATAAGTTCTATTGTTATGACTGTTTGTTACTATAAGGTTTTTGTTTTTATAATCTTTTGTATGTGTTATAGTTTTAGTTACCTACCTAACAGTGTAGTCATGTGTTAACAATAATATAAGTTTTGTTAACATTTATATGTATTTTATGCAAGGGGAAGCTAAAATCAATAGATAGGTACTTATTAGTTATTACTTAAGCATCTGGTTCATGCATAAAACGCTTTTTGAAAAATAGTCAACTCTTTAGACACCAGTATAATATATTTTAATCATATGCAAATAATTAAAAATTATGGAAAAAGTAAAAATTGAATATGTCATCATTTAAAAAATATATATACTTAGTGCTTCTAATTTTGTTTGGTTAAAAAATTGTATTTAGCGTTTACAACATTGATTTCATATACAATTTAGGTAAATTTTTTTAATTGAATTAAACTTTTTCCAAATGTTTATGATTATTTAAAAACGATTTTAATCAGTGCATCTTTATGCTTACATCAATAGTAATCGATTTGACAATATCAATGGCTGGTATATTAAGTAAGTACTGAACAACTTCTTTAGGGTTGTCTTTTTCACACCCCAAATTTTTGGCCAACTTAAAAGCTGATTCTCTATGTTTTTCATTCAAAGCCCACGGATTAAACATACATCCACTTTGCATAATGGCTTTTTGAAAAAATCCTAGTAAAAAAAAGTTTTTAACTTAATTATATTTACAATAATTAACAATCATTTACAATCATTAATATACAAACAAATAACTAATTAAGTAGGTACACAATTTCTAGTTATAACATGTACTATCATTGTAACTGACATAACAAATGATATTGAAACTCAACCTGTGGATTGTGGAGACAATGTGTGACAATGAACAGATGCAGATCCTGCACTCTCTCCAAAAATAGTAATGTTTTGATCATCACCTCCGAATGCAGTGATATTAGCTTTTACCCATTTAATTGCAAACAGTTGATCTTTTAAACCCATATTGCCAGGACATTCATCGATATCAAGGTTGAGAAATCCTAAACGCAAAATCTACAGGTTATTTGTTTTGTAACAAATTAATAACACATAGTTTATTGGTAATAAGTTACAAAGAATAAAACTAAATATAATGTTACATTGTAAATGTCTGTAAAATTACCTAGAGCATTCAATCGATAGTTTATTGTGACTACGATTACATTTTCATCAATCAAATAATCAGGAGAGTAAAAATCTAAGGACCCAGATCCATTATAAAACACTCCACCGTGTATGAACACCATCACTGCCATCTTTTCATTTTGTTCTCCCTGAGAAGGTAGAAAGCAGCAACAACCACAAAAAAAATCCAATAGACAACTGTACGTTATAAATGGCATTATTTGTTTACAATAGGTACCTGTGGCACAAATATGTTTAAATATAAACAATCTTCACTTCCAACAATTTTGTTCTTCAAAAAAGAATACTGCACGCACATATTTCCTACTGAAAATGCTTTCAATGTGCCAGACCATCCTGGATGTTTGACAGGAGGCTGTAAAAATCAAACCATTAATGGTCTTTACCAAGAAAAAATAAAAAATAAATAATTTAGTAAAATTCTTTGAAAAATGAAATATTAATATTATATTTAGTATATAGTACTATAGTGTATACACATAATATTTAATATTACTGCATAGTATAAATAGTACAATACTTATATTATATTATTATGTATACATATACGATATACTATAGTGTATACACATAATATTACATAGTATAAATAGTACAATACTTATATTATATTATTATGTATACATGTACTATAATGTATACACATAATATTACATACCTAATACCTATTACCTGCTACTACATAGTATAAATAGCACAATACTTATTTTATATTATTATGTATTTATGTATACATATACTATAGTGTATACACATAATATTACATATTATAAATAGTACAATACTTATATTATATATTTATATATACTGTATTATATTTACTGATATACGCTTAAAAATCAAACAATGCCCCACCTTAAATCTCAAGTTTCCAACTGGTGGTTTAGCATAGGGTATGCCTAAAAAACTGACGTAAGGCTTATTTGAAGCTTGAGACTTGTAGTGAATTCCTTGTAAAGTACCTTGCTCAATATTAACAGTTTTTTTCTTTTGTGGCTAAAACACATAATATTTTATATCTATTAACAATTTATAATTATGAACATTTTCTTATAACAGTATATTATAATACCTCTATTAAAAGCATATGTGTAAAAGTGAGCTTTTTTATTTTATATTTTATGTTATACAACATAAAAAAATTGTTTGATGAGAAATCGTTATTTTACACAATTCCGTAAAAATGTTAACTTTAGACGTTTTTAAAAATATTTGAGAAATTGAGATGGATTTTTTTTTATTCCACTAATGACTGTCAATGAGGAATCTTGAAATCATTTTTCAAGTTTTTGACAGAGTGATGAATTTTCCATCGATGGTCATTGAAAAAAAAATAACAATAATCAAAAATGTCTCATGCCTATAAATAGCTCAAAAAGAGTCGTAATATAAATACATATATAATATCAATGTATTTAAACATTCGTTAAAAGTTTTAATTACTTATCTACATTTAATCGGTTTTTAATAAAATCCCGTTTTATACCAATTTTTTTTTTTTGGTTTTTCTTAATTATTAAAAAAATTGCTTGAAATTTTGTACTTTTGACCCATTCAAAATACCTACCAACTAGATTTTTTTTCTTAGAGGAAAATATTATACTGAAGTGAAAAATCGAAGCACATTGATTGCAATCGTGTCCTCTGAAGACTCAACTTTGAGGTCAGACACAAAAAAACACACACAACATCGTAAAATCAAAACATTTTCCGTCTAGAATTTTAAGTATAAAAATATAATTAAATTAAAATATTTTTTTTATTAAATAGGTAATATTTAGATTATTTTTTATTTAAATACTCAGCAACGTTCATTCGGTACTCAACAAGTCAATATACAGTTGAGTATATTTTTATACTCGTTTTTATGCATTTCATTTGCTATACATGAATTTTTGAAAATATGGGTACCTAATTGAACACATTTGCCCATAATTTATTGTATTCCGACTGTGATTTTCAATAAAAATGATGATATAACATTTTGTTGAATGTATTTTTAATTTTAACTCTCCTAAATATCCGGCCACGAATACTACGTGCAAACATGCAATATAATCGTTTGGCACGGTCGCCGGATAATGATTTAATTTATGTATTATACAAGACCGTACCGTCAGGTATCTTGCGACAGTGCTGGAAAAAAATCCCTTGAACTTGTTGACCACGATTTTAGTGATGAAACGCCATTTGACAAACGTCTGCCATGGTTTCGACATAATCGAACGAAGTTGTCGAAATTATTGATTTCTGGTTCGCAGTAGAACGGCGTCGGGTCGAGTGTACGTCAGACGGACATCCTACCGGGCTCGCACTGACAGCATCACTAAAATAAATCACGGTTAGCGCTCAATGCCACTCCTAAACGGTAAACATATAATCTGAATTCTAGCTCAGACTAAGCTCAAAAGTCCACAATCGTGACCCACTGTCCAAACGTTAGCAAGAAATAAAAATAAGCTTATATAATAACCGATTACAGAACGCTGCACGATGGCGGCTCAGATGAAACATATTTTGCACTATAAAATATTTCATATTTATATTTTCAGAGCACTGTTTGTTTTTTCTCTCTTGCCCACGCGCCACATAGACAAAACGTATTTAAGCAGAATACATTTTTTTTACGTAAATGAGTAATCTTAGAGTAAAATCACCCATTACAAAAACGATGGAGAATGATATTTTCGAGGGTACGCCATAACGATTTGTCCAAATATTGTCTCAAAACAATTTAACATCGTTTAAATTAATAACGTTTTTTTTTCTTATTTGAAAGTCGAATACAAAGCCAGAGCCATTAGTCAGATAGCAATATTATTGACCATAAAATATAAAACCGATGTCATACCCTCAAAAATATTATTCCCTGTAATTTCTGTAATAGGCGATTTTACTCTAAGGTTGGGTGCTCGAAAATCATAAAAAAAACCATTTAGGTCATAGCGTTTTATCTATATTGCCCGTGGGTCTGAGAGAGAAAACAAACATTGCGTTAAATCTATGATCGCTACCAGCACGTGTGCCTATGGTCGGCTGTCTACACGTCGTAACATGCAGTGGCGCCGATGTGTTTAAAATATATTATGACATCGAGGGGCCCCCGTCGGCCATCACCCCCTCTCATTTTCAAAAAATATATCCATCCGATGCAAATCAAAGCACTTAGGTCCTGCATTTAGGTAAAGCAATGTTTAATAATTTATTCTTATGTTCAACGTAAATTGTGGAATTGCCAATACCCTACAATACCTTACGGTGCACTCCCCCCCCCCTCCCCATATAAAAAAATCGACTATGACACATGGTTTACCATAGATAAATTCGGTGACCGGTGCCACTGGTGACATGTGACATGTGGCGTAGCACATAGTTCGTTTTCGGCGTCGATGTTTGTCTCGACACACCAGTGAAAAGTGCCCCGAGAGAAAACATTTATAAGGAGCTGCATTAAAAAAAAAAGTTGTTCTTATGTCAAAAACTTGAGTTGTCGCAAGTGGCACTTAATACTTTGTATAATATGAAAATATTACATTTCAAGACGGACAAAATAAAAATAAAATAAATAATAGTACATCAATAATGATAATTTATTGTATTTGGGTGGATATAGGAGTGACGAATGTAAATTCCCATCATATGGCCACACGACACATAAAAATCCCCCATACGGAGAATTCGTACACATACAAAGTACAAGCATATAATAACACAGATAAAGAAAATTTTAAATGCCTATGTTGTTTGAATACTGGATAGTAAAAGAAATTTCTTCCCACTTGACCTACATACCAATCGGATGTAATCAGAAATATTTTATTTAACCTAGCACCTGCATAATTAAAAATCGACGTATGTAGTATGTTCTGTGCTTTTGTGGTAGTATAAAAATTAATAGTCGTTATCAAAATATTATGATTGGAATTTGACCACGCGAAATACGCACTGAACTCTATACAGAGGAATCCATGTTCAGTGGAAATACGAAAACATGTATCATGTATGAGTGTATGACGCAATGAATGTATGGCACACGGATGGTAATCATAGCTAGTGACTATGGTAAATCTAAAAATTGTGTTCACGGTGTAGGACACTTCCTTAATCCTTATACACATTTCCTGGGCCATAACCTTCTATTACCTACCTATATTATCAATATTTCGATATTACTCGTTCATTTTTAAAATGACACTGAAAATAATAAAAAATGTAAACAAATTTTACGTTTATACTTATTAGTTGTTTATTATTTTTTTAACAGGTAAAAATATTATATTTTTTCGTTATTATTTATAATTAACGTCCCGAAGACCACGGGTACAGCGACATTTACAGAATGTAGGTGTTATTACCTAATAGTAAAGTAGGTATTTACAATGTTTACTATTTACTATTTATATTGGTATTGTAATTATTATTATCCCAATATATCGGTTATGTTGTTACTTAGACAGTAAGATGTACATTTTTTTATTTTAAGTTTTGTAATGAATAAAAGCAAGATGCAAGTAGATATCTGAGTTTTTTTGTTTTAGTAAGTATAGTATATTCTACTTTGAAAGGGTCAACTATATACTGAAGTAATATTAATATTATTTTATTTTATAATAATATTCATGGTTCTTTTGTCATTATTCATTACATTGTCTATTTATTTAATAATTTTGATATTTATCAAAGTTATTTTTTGCTAAAATGTTTAAGAATATTCTAATTTCTATTCTAACTACTATCCACACACAGTAAAAACAACTAATAATTGTCCACACCATTAGGTTGGTGTTAAGTATACTTGAACATTTTTACCAATTTTTTTTTTTTTTAACTTAAGCCTGGCGATTAAGGCCATTAGCTGTTGTAGGGGTTATGAACTGTGGTAAGGGTAAGGTTGGTACGGTAGGTTTGTTATTACGATTGTTACGGTTGCTACGGTAGGTAGCAAAAACATGTATGTGTGACAAGGTTTTTAACTACTATGAACCCGGGTGGTCACCCATCCGGGAGCTAGTAGCTGTGGCCTGTGGCCGTTACTCACTCACAGTCGCATTCCGCGTTATGTTTAAATACTATGTTAAATCATTGCATTCAAATAATGATTCTGAGCGTCAGCTTATACTACTACTATATAATATTATTCATAATAACAGTAAAGTATTTTATTATACTATTAGTAATACAGCAGGTGTTATATAGTATAAATAGGCAATAGCTTAAAATGTATCTAAATATTTTGATTATGTCACATTGTCACCGAGTAAAATAAATTGTTATAATAATGTACATACAAATGTCAAACCTTAAGAATATATCTGGAATATAACAAAACACCAATAAAATTGTTACACTTTGTTTGAATATACAATTGTATCAATATTTGAACTTTAAATGTCTATAAAGAATAGTTATTGATCTTATATCAGTTATAGGTGGAATGTAGATTAGTTGTGTGCCATACATTTTAAAAACTGTTTCTGAATATTTTAGATTTTGGTTACATAATGCTCTGTTGAGACATTTCAAATTATTCTATTATAGTCTATAATATAGAACAAAGTTTAGAGTAATACAGACATACAGTACTAGAATGCATATTGAAAATCCCCAACAATTTCACTTAAGAAATCCCAACATTCTCCTACCATTTTTAGAAAACATATCCATGATAAGTAAACAAGATGTTATTTTATAATATTACACCTAAATCATTAATCAATGATACAATGTTTGAAGAAATATTATTAATTGTATATTTGTTATAAAAAGATTTTTTCGTTCAGTAAATTATTTTTAACGAAATTTATTGATGTTAATTTCGAGTGAATTAGCATTTCACCATAAGTAGAACCTATCAATGTAGTGTTGAAGTAAATGACAATCCTCATGAGCGTTTATAGAATAGCATAATTTAAGATCAACTTTAAAGAATAAATATTTAGCATACCTATAAAAGTAAAAATAAAAAAGATGAAATATAATTATCCTGTAGTACAATTGACATAATTCTAAATAGAACCGAGGAATAATAGCTCATTAATATTAGATATTATATAATGCTCAAATAACATATATAACAGTTTTATTTTCGTTCATCTATAACTATGTTTACTTACATACACATAATTTAGTCTTAAAAATAATACTTAATTAAATAAATAGTTTCAATATACATTTAAATCATAATCTAAAATATAAAATTATTCAAATTTCACTTTTTTCCCCTTGGTTGATAGTTGAATGATCAATAACTTCTAAATAATATAAAAATAAAAATAAATTAGTGAACATTTTATTTTGACGCCATATATTTTGATTATTGTGATTGCTATGTTACACAGTTAATCCAGAATTTATATACCAGAATAAAAGTTTAAGTTGTTAAGTTACTCACCATTGATTTCTTGTCCTTCCAGAATACGCCATATCATATCTCCGTATGTGTTTCCATAATAATCATCATCGTCACTACTAATACTGGGGCATGTCGAATCCGAATCTATCATAGCGCTTAATTTTGGTAATGATGTCACAGTATCCTGTGGTTCTGCTTTTGTGATATGCTTTTCTGCGTTTCAAAACATTAGTTTGTAATCAATTAGATATTTAAGTACCATTATATAACAAAAATCATTTAAAAAAATATTATTACTTATTCGTCTCCTGGATAGCTTTAGTTTCTTTTTCGGATGACAAATATTGATATTTTTTTCAAGGTTTGGTGGTTCTGATAATTCAACCATATCTTTTAGCATATCTTCATTTCTACCTGGGAAAGCTCTGATATTAGTATTTTTATACCTGTTTTTTTTTTTACGTTCAATTTCATTGTTTTTTTGATTGACTGTAGTAACAGTTTTAGCAGTGCTTATCTCTACTATCGCTTTAGAAAGTTCTGGCTTATATTCAAAAGCAGCTCCATGACCCAAAGACAATTTACTCAATTTGTTTATGTATGCCAATTCATTCCGCATCTGATACTCCATGAGTTGTAGTCTATTGGATGGATCAAAGTCTTTGCGCTCTTCGTATTGAACATTAAAACATTTATCAGCGACACGGCCCATAAATTTGCGGACCTCAGCTCTTGGATAATTGGCCTGCAAGAATAATTGAATTAAATAAATTAAGGTTTTGTTGAACTTAACATAGATTAAGGTGTTTAATAGACTAATAGACTCACTTCTAAGCAAGGGTTGATGGCTGTAGCTGTAATTGTTATTTTTCTTTTGATATCCAGTTGGTAAAAACAGTAGGCTGGGTCTCGCAGACCTTCATTAAAACAACTGTTGACCAATTCTTTAGTATTGAAGTAGTCTTTACTTACCATTTTTATATTGATCAGGTAATGTTTAAATGGCTGAGTCCTGTTAATGGTGTACAATAAGTAAACGGCACCTATTCGTGCTTCTCTCGATTTAGATCTCAAAAACTTAGATGCCACTGCAAGAGAGTCCTGTGTGGTTACGATGAAATGATGTGGAGCTAGATATGTATGATGATTCTTTTCCCTATTGTGCTTAGCATAAATTTCATGGAACTTAGTAGAACTAAAAAGTTCTAAAAACGAACAGTATGTTAATGTTTTACTTTTGATAAACAAGTCAATTAAGTTAAAAGAATCGATGAATAAATTTGAATAGAAGGTACGCAGTTCCCTAGAAACTTTGATAGCGTTATTGGCATATTTCTTCTGTTTGGCTGGAATTGGGAAAACCACCTCTTCGTATTCACTGCTTTCATCGTTACTTGAACTGGTGTACTCAAATTCTGACATTTTTTCAACTACATGAAAGTAAGAAAAATAACTGAGCTCTTGAGTGCCAAGCAGATATATTTTGATTGGATTTTTTTTCAACTGCCTCCAAAATTGTGTAACGTCTTCCCTACGACCCTACGTAATATTAAATAAGAGTGCATAATATCAATGAGTACCTATTATTATAAATTATAATCATAAAATAGATTAATCTACCTATTGCTATTTGTAGTATGATACTAAAAATTGTTAAAGCAGTCATTTGTGAATTAAGAAATACAAATACAATAATTATCACTGTAAGTAGCACAACACATGCTTGGTGTTCCAGCAAGATTTAGATCTATGACGGAAGTGACTCGTTCTTACTCGATTTCAATGACCCAAGCGTGTTCGAAAATACATTGGTTGACATCTGACACATTAAAAATACTATAGTTTCGAATTTTGAGCATTACCGTAAAGGACCGCCGAGGAAGCCGTTTTTTTTTAACTTTTGAAGTTTTGAATATGAGTAATGACTAATGTTTTGATTTTTCTATCTATATTCTGTAATCTTGGATTCGACGATAAGAACTGATGATAATGTTATCAAAAGAATGCACGTCAGTTGTGTTGCTCACGTGTACTTGATAAAGGGGCAACTAAGTGATCTAACAAAATTTAAAATTGTTTTAAAATGAAAACATGGTTCAATACTATGATAGAACTCGTTACCGACGTCACTGTGGTCCATACCGACAGACACGTTCTGTGTTAAATATTAGTAATAGTAGTAACGCGTTAACAACTATGAGTTGAAATAGTTTAATATCAGAAAATGGACGAAACGATGAAGACGTGTGAACTGTGAAGTAATAGGTATTGACATTTAATCATTTAAATCAATCAAAATCTGTGCGTATAGTATACCAGTTTAATAACTCAAAACTACTCTAACAAACAACAGTTTATTTAGGCAATTTATTGTGGACAATTTTAAGTCAAGTGCCCTGGTTTCTACAGATGGAGCTGTCTCGCCATCAGTTTTTTCTTCCTAAACAGCGTAATATACAGTTGTACCCGTCAATCTGTCTCTCTATACGTTTCTTCCTCCACGGATTGCTCTATTTTGGAAGCTTTATGCTCTCTGGCATAAATAAATAAATTAACTATAATAAAATTAAATTTTATGAAGAGCGCGATATAGAAAAATATAACATATAAATTCGAATATGTATATTTTATATTATTATATATTATCTGAGGTCGGAAATAGTGTTTTATTAAACTATATTATTCTATAAATAGTGTGCAGCCACTGCAGATGTTTTCTAAAAAATATTGTGGTTATATACTATTTAACTAAGGCTTTCATATAAAAGTAGGTGACACTGTGACAGTAGTAAAAGCAATAAAAGCATTATGATAAAGAAAAAACTCTATCGTTTCGCCAGTATTCGTATCCGGACATTTCGGCGTGGACACTTCGGCGTGGCCATCTCGGCGTAGCTGGTTCGGCGTAGAGCCGTTTCGGCGTGGGTCTATTTCGGCGTAGTCCTTTTTTCATTTAATTATTTTTCGTCGGCTTAATCTACAAATGGCCGTTGACCACCCGACACTATGGGCATTTATATCATGTTTAAGGAGAATACAAAGTGGCTGAGACACCTTCTTTTGCAAATTAGAAACAGGCAAAAGTCCACCAAAAAAGAAAAAAAAATACATTGACGTCGATAAACGTATTTTAAAATTAGTCAGCGATTATGGTAATCGTAATATTATGAGTTTTTTAAGAGGAATAGCACATAATTTAAGTATGATGACCTGAATATTTATATTTGTAATTTTAATAGCATTCTCCTTATTTTAATTAAATTTGTATTATTTATTTATTTTTTATTGTTTATTATTATTTATTTATTTATTGTATTTACTATTTATATTTTAAGTATGATGACCTGAATATTTTTATTTGTAATTTTAATAGCATTCTCCTTATTTTAATTAAATTTGTATTATTTATTTATTTATTTATTATATTTATATTTTATAGTGACTTACCTAATTTCTTAAAATTGCCCTACGCCGAAAAGGCCCTACGCCGAAATGGCCACGCCGAAGTGGCCACGCCGAAATGGCCACGCCGAAATGTCCTAGACCGGCCAGTATTTACTTAATTTGAACTTTATTTAACCTCTTATTGTAAATAATTGTACTAGCATAGTTTGTACTTTACAGATGAGGTCGTTTTGGATGTTTAAAAATCGGATGAAGGAATAGGGACCATTGAGGTAAACCTTTGGATAGATGATAACCCACACACATCATTGAAAAATCAATACATTATTTCGCTTAACTCAGGATATAAAAAAATTGAAAATTGAAAATGTCTATAAAAGCTCAAAAATATTCAAAATATTTTTAAAATCCTACCATTTATAGAAAATGTTATAATAAATATTTGATGTATTCACGGTTATTTGTCTTACAAATTACAACAAAATAAGAAAATCGTTTGGTGAGAAATCAATTTTTTACGTGGGAATATCCTATTTTACTGTTGAGAAGCGTACCTATACCTATAATTAAAAATGGGAACTTGTATATTATAATATTATACTTTAAAGACTAGGCTTGGGTTCTCCTATGATAAAAATATGTATTATAATTTGTTGGTAAATTCAATACGATTTTGTATGGTTTAAGGTGGATAGTCCTTACGTTTAGAGATATAAGTTTCTCTTATCTCAAATTTTACGTTTCAACAGTATTGGGTCACTGCAGGCCATGTTATTCCCCATAACCACGCATACAAATAATAATCATTATGGTTTTGTTTTAATTTTTACGATATTCTAATGAGGAGAGTTTATCAGTTGTTTTAATTAGGTAAGGTAAATAAAAAAAGGAAGTACCTAGGCATAGGTTAGGCACCTAATATAAGTAATTGTAAACGTTCGTTAACATTTTTTCACGTTCGTGCAATTATAAAATTATAATATGAAAGAACAATTATTCAACTTTTATTTCTATTGTACATTTTAAGTTTTGAGACAATTATTTTTACTAGTTTCAAACATAAAAAAAACTATTTTATTAACTTGAAAATGATTGTAAATTTAATAGTGACTTTCGCCACGATCACGTTGATTGTCTATTTTCATGGTGTTTGTGGACTCGACAACGGATTGGCCTTAACACCACCGATGGGATGGCTCGCGTGGGAGAGATATAGGTGTATCCTCGACTGTGAAACGTATCCCGATGAATGTATTAGGTAAAGCGATGGAAGTGTTTCGATCTATCAAAATCAATAAACTCATAAACTACTCGTTCAAAATTTGATTTTTGTACTTCGACATACTACAACCATCAAATATTTTGCTTTGTATTCTGTTTTTAAAATAATTCATGCCATAAGTTAATTGCATCACACGTAGGTACACATAGTACCTATAGAGGATAGATGATTCAATTCAAAACTAACGATTTTCTCAAAACCCTAAAGTACTGACCGAGTGAACACAGTTATGAGGAAATAATAAGTAACAAAATATACATTTATTTATAACTCATTTATATTTTGAAATATACCTAAAAATCTTCAATTGTAGACAGTAGTTGATATTACAAATAGTCCGAGAAATAATATTACTTCTTAAAGATATAAAAATTACACAATAAGGTATATTATTAAAAACAATAGTCCTGGCTGATATTTCCTAAAAAAATAAAGTCATAAATAATGAACATTTAAAAACAAAAATTTGAGAAGCAACATGTATAGAAATATTAAAAATATAATAATATTTGTATTAATATGTTATAGTTGTTAATCAAAAGATTATAATATTAAAGATATAACAAACCATGCTTCTCAACAACAATTGACATTAGCTGTAGGTGTACTGTGTAGCCTCTAATGACAAATTTTTTAAAATGTATATAGAGACAATGTGAAGTGCCTATATTCATTAATTTAACTTCACTAACTACCTTTATGCGTTGAACTTTATTTTCTGCGAATTACAGACATTTTTCCTGTGTTCTTAAATCTTAATTATAATTGTATTTAACATAATTAAATTATTGGTTTTACCGGAATCTTTCGCACATTTGTCGTCATTTATCATTTTATATTTTTCAACTTACACATTATTATATTTTTAACCATAAAATTAAAATAAACTCTTTAAAAAATATTTAGAAGTTTAGAACTATTTGTTTTTAGCGAAAAGCTGTTTATGAGAGCTGCGGACTTGCTGGTCAGCGAAGGCTACGCAGACTTGGGTTATGAATACGTCATCGTGGATGACTGTTGGTTGGCCACGAACCGATCGGCAGACGGTATGTTAGAAGCTGACAAGAAAAGATTCCCAAGCGGCATCAAAGCTCTGTCAAACTACGTAAGTAATGTTTCAAATGTCTTTTTTGAAGACTGATATTCAATTTATTTGTAAAAGTATTTAAACATATCTATAAATATCTATTTAAATTAATATTATATATTCCTAGTACTATTTCTAATATGTATTATACTCGTATATTCGTTCTAAATGAGTATGACTTGTCTTTAATATAGTATTGTCTATGTTATAATATGTAATATTAAATAAATAACCACCGTACACCAAGGCATATTATATTTAAAACGTTGACAGGCACAGGCTAAATGGCCGATTCGACGTGTGACATATTTCTTGTTGTACGTTATAACTTATAATATAGTAATGTATCCCTCAATCACTGCAGATACACTCGAAAGGACTGAAGTTCGGTTTGTACCAAGACTTGGGCTCGAAAACTTGCGCTGGTTTTCCTGGCGTGTTGGGCCACGAGGCGAAGGATGCCAAGCGATTCGCCGAGTGGGAAGTCGATTACGTAAAACTCGATGGGTGCTTTTCGGACGTCAGGGACATGGACAAAGGTATCCTATTATGGCCTATAAACTGTATGGATTCCGATATTAAGAACGAAAGTGAAACGAAAAACTGATCCATGACACACCAAAAATAAACGCCTTTATAAATCATATAAATAAGACCTAAAGTCCTAACCTATCATATACTTTTAAATATAATAATTAACCATAAACATTATACGTTAATTATTGACGGCATTTATTCTACTTACTAAATATACTATTAATAGAACGTAGCAGTGGCGAACACTTAACATTTTAATAATTATTAGCTGACCTACAAATTTAAAAATGTACAACCCCCCTATCTAACACCAAGAAAATGTTTTCCTGTGTTCGCGTCTGGAAAGCAGTCATAAGCGCATTCGCCTTTATAAAAAAGTTTAACAAAGTATACTTTTAGTTCAGAAAAATCGGTGGGACTCTTTTCGCCAAAAAATGACCTTCCACTTTTTGCCCAAATATTTTAAACCTACTTTCCCTTTTCGCCCAAGAATATTATAACACTTTTATAATTCACAATTGGGGAACATTTACTTGAAGCTATTTAGCATTATCCAGAGTGTATCACGAGGAGACGGCTTTTATAACTATCCAAAAATGTATTGTGTATTTTGTGCATTTAATGAATTAAATGTACATTCAAATAATTCTTACAACATAATTTATAAGGTCGTTAAAAAATTGTTTATGATTGTATTTATAATTGTGTCAATAATAAAAGAGAATGGATTCGTGTTAAGAATATTATAACCTCCAAAAAAAATTAATATAAAAATATATATTATCAAAATATAATTATTAAATTTTAAATTTATAATAATTGAATGCCATTGATTTAATAAAAATCTCTTGTTTAATATTGTTGTACTTTTTGCTCATTTTTTGTTGTCGATCTAAAATTTTTTATCTTTGGGACAAGTTAGTAAATGAATACTGTTTAATTTAATATAGACCTCAGTTTAAATTTAATTTATAACACTCAACCAAGCACAGACCATTGTAGATTTATACTGGACATAAATAAATTAAGTAAGTGTTTCCCAAATTTTGTATTATAAAAATGTGATCAAAAAGCACTATAATATTCTTGGGCGAAAAGGGAAAGCAGTTTTAAAATATTTGGGCAAAAAGCGACATGGGTGAAAAGCGAAAGGTCATTTTTGGGCGAACAGGGTCTTGCCCCAGAAAAATCCATTTTAGTCTTTTATTTTGAATACCTATAAAAATGAATTATTACCTATTATCAAATTTTAATCTAATATTATTCGAAGCCCCACATAAGCGTTTCTTGCAGGTATTTTAATTTTGAGTTGTGAGAAATTTACAAAAAGTAACTATTAAAACGGACTAGGACGTCACCTTATCCTGAGTACATATTTGTTTTAAAAATTATTAATAAACAAGATCTTTGATCTATAACATACAAGTATACAAATACAACCCATACTTTTAACACTAATTGTACGTGAGGTTAAAGGCTTATTTAGTTGCGTTACTGACTTACGGTTATCTAATACTTATAACATGACATTGTCTTATGGTACAATTTATACATTTTCTACGCTGACAGGTTACGTTGAATTCGGAAGACACTTGAACAACACTGGGAGGCCCATGGTTTACTCGTGCAGCTGGCCGGCGTACCAAGAATTCAAAGGCATCCGGGTAATTTTTGAAAAAATAATAATATAAATAATATGCATGCCACAGAATTATTATGTATAGCTTAATATAATAAGAAAAGTAAGATTATAGAAGTCAAGTGTACCTCGGCATTGACTAGTAGGCCACTATACTGTATATGACGTGTTATGATCAATTATTATTGCATTCAAAAAACAAATAACTATAACTAATTTCTAAGCCGAAACTGTCCTGAGCCTGTCGTGTAAATATATCGTTATAATGTAGTATTATAGTAATTTATTTTACTATTAATAACATTATGCAAACAATTAATGTAAAAGTGTCAAATCCTCGCGAAAAATATTATTGGATTTTACTATAATAAGTAATAACTAAAATAGTAACATCGTTATTCTTCGTTTGGCTTTGGACATCGAATTTCGTCTAAATTTGAACTTTAAATCTTTGTAGAAAAAATCAAGTAAATATATTTTTGGACTTTTTAGTTCCAGTTTATGAATAACTTATGAGTTATGACTTTATGAGGAACCTTGTATTACATTTTCAAGCCTTGCATATAAAAATTGAATACTATACATATTTAACTAAAATAATTTGCAAATTTTCTTTATTTTGACTTATTTTGTGAAAATTTGATCTTATAAAAGAAAACTCGACAATGGACACCATTAATTTTATTACAAACCATCTCGTAATACAGATCGATTACGCTTCGATAGCTGAACACTGTAACCTGTGGCGCAACTACGGTGACATTGACGACTCGTGGAGTTCCGTTATGGACATCGCCGATTATTTTGCCACAAAACAAGAACTCTGGGCTCAGTACGCAGGACCCGGACACTGGAACGATCCGGATACGGTACGCCGTTGTATTTATATATATTTTTATTATTGTCAATATTTTGCATCATTATTTTCATCCACAACAATAAATTGGAGTATTAATTAAGTTTATCATATACTAAAATATTTATTATTTTATTTATTTAATATATTTGTAAATCAGTTTTTCACATCTGCAAACTTATGATTGGCAAATAGGAAAGTTGATCATAATAATTCAATTTATTGATTGAATCTGACTAAATTGTTAAAGTTGTCGAAGTGCTTAAATGTTTTTTAGTTATTTAGGATCTTATATATGATTTAAATCTATTTAGAACTGAGAAAAAGTACTCTGCTGAACAACTTGATATGGGACAGGTGGACAGAAGAGAAATATGAGGATGTCAGAGCACTATTTATTTTATCTCTCTGACCCACGTGCAACATGGCTAATTTGCGTTCAGGAAAACAAATCTTGTGTCGTTAACTTTAGTAGTTTATAGTATTAGTGTTTGAATGATTTTAATTATTAATTATTATCAAACTCAAAGTTAAAAAGCATTTTCAGCGTTTGTAGTACAAACATTGTACAGTATATTTTAATATGAAAGTGAGATAATATTGTTATGATAGTTTTTAAATTATGTAATCATATACGTACTCATAACTTGCATAACAATTGAAATACCTGTCGTAAAAATCCTGACTTACAAACATAGATAATATTTTCAACTTAATGTTTGATGATAGGTTAGCACGCTCTAATATGAAAGCAAATATTACTAGGTTTGTTGCTTTTAGACAGTCCATTTATAACATTCGTAAATACAAAAATGAATAACAAATTATTGCATGAATTTCGTTTAAATTGTTTTGAACGTATTTGATACAAATAATCTACTTATCAGTTACTATTAAATATTAATATCAATCATATAAAGTCCCAAGCCATTGTGGAGTACGGTACACGCATGCACTTGTTTGTGTTTGTCTTCTATAGCACACAACACGGCTTTACGGTAGTAACTCCATATCTGAATAACATAAATTTAAAATATAGCAATATTTTTTTTTTGAAACGCAATACTCAACATTTTGCCACCCAGGAATCAGGCCCCCTGCAACCACCTAAATATGTTACAACTTTTCGCAGCTCTTGATCGGAAACTTCGGCCTGTCGTTCGATCAAAGCAAATCGCAAATGGCCATTTGGGCCGTGTTGGCCGCTCCTTTGCTCATATCCACCAAGTTGTCTGCCGTACGTCCGGAGTTCAAAGAAATATTGCAGAACAAAGAAATCATCAAGATAAGTCAAGACCCTATTGGCGTGCAAGGCACTAGAATATATAGGGTGAGCACTTCTAATGTCTATCAAACCATATATTAAATTACCTATTTACATTAAATTTTTTTTTTTTTTTATTACATTTCTGTCCGGTGACTAAGGTCATTATCTGTTGTAGGGGTTATGAACTGTGGTAGGGGTAAGGTTGGTACGGTAGGTTTTGTTTTTACGATTGTTAGGGTTGTTGTGGTTGGTAGAAAACACGTGTATGTGTAGCAAGGTTTTGAACTACTATGAACCCGGATGGTCACCCATCCGAGAACTAGTAGCTGTGGCCGTTACTTACTCACAGTTGCATTCCACGACTGGTAGCAGCCAACGCTCCACACCAAGCCACTACATTAAATTATTAAAGTGTTATAAGGCAGACGAGAATGTACCTACATAATATTTTTAAAGTTGTGTGTTTAACATGTTTAACCACCTGAATTTATATTTGGGTTCATGGGTGGGGAAGGTGGGTGTTTGCTCGCGGGTATAGATAAGTGATAAATCATGAAGTAAATTTAATATTTTTAATATTTTTTTCTAGTTCTTCGATATAAATCTATTGTATAATATGTAATTATATATATATAATATATACTGTGTATACCAGAGGTCACCAATTAATATTGTTCGCAAACCATCAAAATTGCTGACGTCGTTGGTAAAAACCAATGAACATAAATGACAAAGTACAGCACTAGATCTAGAGACTAGAACGTATAATATTATTGTATTTACTTTTTTAGTAAATATTCTATGCATACCTATGATAAATCATAGTAAACACAGTCATAATTACTGTGTAAAGTACCTACAAAACACTTACATATTTACATGTTACCGTAATTGTGACGGTAAAGATGAGTGAGTATCTGCTTACTGTTTAATCATGGGCAACGATCTTAAGAATAAAGCATTGATTATGAATACAAATATTTTTAGTAATTGTATTTATAATCAATGAAATTAGGTAGGTACCAAAAGTAGAGGACTTTAGCACTTCCAGTTTTGTCATTGATATTAGTTGTTCTTGTTAAAGTTTTAAGAGGACGGTATACACATGAGTTATCGCCATTTTTAAAAAGTACCTTTAACAAAGCAAATTTGTGTTCAGCAATTCCTGTAATTTTGTGAAATTGAAGGTATATTTTTTTACATTTCACATTGTATACACTGTCGGAACTTTTGACAGTGACATTATATTGTGTGATAGATTTTAGTTTCAATTTTTGTAAAAACATACTATTCATATTTTTACATATTGCATACTATAGATGTATCTATTTCACGAATTCCATAATATCCAATCTAGCGTATTCTCTAGAAATTATTTCAATTAGTCGAATTAAAGTCATATTGTGATACCAAATAGCCAGTGATACAAATTGAAAAATTTATATACTATTTTTATTGCTATAATTAGAAAGTGTGAGGGACAACATGTTTATAAATCATTATCATCGGGGACATAACTACTAAGTCATATTTGGCTAAGTACCTATATAATGTATTGTGTGCGATCATTTTAAATTTTTATAAAAACGAAATTTTAAAAATACATATTAAAAGTTTACTTTCGTATCCCGATCCGTCGTGTTTCTAACTTTTTTCTTGTGTTATCCTATATAGGACCAGGATATTGACATTTGGAGCAGACCAGTAGGACCTGTTTACAACGGAATTTGTTCTTGTGCTGTAGCGTTTGTAAGCCGTCGCGCGGATGGTGCTCCTCACTCTTACAAAATTACAGTGGAACACTTGGGGATGCTGAATCCCAACGGTTACACAATCAAGGTGAATATTACCTTTTAGTAATTAAAATTATAAGTTAAAACTTATTAAGTGTAGCTAAAGTAGTAAAGTATATATATATAACTTATAGTTATTACTAATTTATTTATAATAATTATTGTTATTAAGTAATAATATAATTATATTTTATACACATAACGCATTTTCAGATGCATTTTTTTCGCAAAAATAATTTCAACCTACTGTGAAACTAATATTTAATAGTAAATTTAATTATTAAATTATTTTAATTTTATTTATAATTTATTTCAAATTGAACACATCTATTACAGTGACCCAGCCAACACCTTCTGCACAGCAAAGCGTTGCCTACTTACCCATCATTTTTCTTTTAGATTTTGTTGACATCGTTTTGTTACTTAGAGTATCGACTATCAACGCCCATCATAAAATATAATCCAAGCCTACTGTATAACTATTTATTTTCTCCCACGTACCAGACTGTCATCTCGTAATACCGAACACATTTTTAAAGTCACGTGTGATATGCAATTATAGCAGAACATTTTTACATATTTATAGTATTAATTATATTATGCGTTACAGAATTTGTACGGCGGGAAATACGCAAACAATATCAGTAATCAATATGTCACGCGAAAGTCTGTAGTTCGTGTACGAGTTAATCCGTCAGGTAAATGACATAGATTATAATATAACATTTTGAAAAAAGGTTTATTTATACTATTTGTTATAGTCAAATGACTTGTGTTTTAAACTGTGTATAAGACAACGTACATTTTTAATTTAATATCGCAAAGCAGGATTTTATTGAGAATTTGATTTATAAAATTTGAATTTCAAACAAGTAAGTAGTTGATTACCAATTAGTTATAACATACAACTTAATAATAAGTAGATACTTAAATTTTAGATGAACACAATAATTTATAGTGGACCAACATTTTTTGCTGTGCTATAATCGTTACACTTATATATCATATGTTTATTATTTTTTTTAATAAGTATTATAACTATAGGCTGCACTCATTCAAAATTCAATTTTCATAAATTAAAATTCTCTATACAATATTCTGCTTCGAGATAAAAAGAAAATACAAATACAAATTATAATGATAAAAATAGGAAAATATTGGGGAAACATAACATTAATTTTCAATAAAATGTTGTGTCTCCATAACTATGTAACGATTAGACATATTTTAAACAATGTTAGTACTCGTCGAAATAATGAGGGTTTTTATTGTTAAAAGATTGTACGTGTATACATTTATATAAATGTACATTTTTTTAATAAACATAATACAGGAACTGCCGGCTTATCAGAATATTTATAACATTATAAATTATATTTAATCTAGGAGCTGTGTTCCTGAAATTCGAAGTGAACAAGGTGAAGGAGGGATATGTTACTGCACTCAACCACACGGTAGAATTTACATAAATGCAGTATCGTACTTTCTATATATTGGCTATCGCTTATTATAGCTAGATAATACAAAAATAAAGTTGTTCATAATATATACCTAGTGTTATAGTTTCGAACTTTTGAAAAAAATTTACAAATATTGTCAGAATCAAACATGTCTCTGCAATAATTTAATTTATTTAATTTTTAATTTTTAGAGAAATCTAAACCTCAATTATAACATCACAGCAAAATGATAATGGAATAAATGTAATATATTTATAATAATTTTACATTAAATTTCAGGCTATGTTCTATGTGGCTACGAAAATTAAATTCACTATAAATTGCAATTTTCAACTCACTACAGTCAGTTGTTTTTATTTTTTTTATCTTAACTTGCAGGCTGTGGCGAGTGTTTCGAAAATATATTCTATAAATAATAAATGTATATGTCACTGTTTTACAAGAATACATACGCGATACATATAAATAATATCTGTAGTTGGATGAAATTCTCTAAGATGTGTTGGTTTTTTTTTTTACTTCATTGAAAGGCAGACATACATTCCCGATTCTCCCAGTCCTTGGACATTTTCACCTCAAAATGTAGAAAGTTTCCAAAATATGCAGCAAATATATTGGATTATTTCGATTCAAATCACATACCTATAACTTATTTTTAACCTGTTTTCTTTTTCCCTCAACTATTAGCTATCCTGTCGAAACAAAAATGTATTCAATATTAATTTATCTAATAGTTTTAAATACCTAATATGGTTTTTAATAGCATTGATTATATATTTACTAGTATTTATAATCAATGATAATAGGTATACTCCATATAATATAATATATGTTTTTTTATTCAATTAAACGATCTTATTTTCATCCATTGCTTAAACTATTTGTCGTATATTTTTGTAAAACTTTTAAGAAATACCTAAACTGACACAGAAGTTACATGATTTTTAATCAAAATAGTAGTGTTTACGGTATAATTATAACGAACATTTAAATTAAGTATATTATGTTATTGGCAAGTTTAAATATTGAAAGCTTCATTATTGCATCTCCGAAAAAACGATAAATATCTATAGATATAGAGATCTTAATCTTATAATGGAATTATGCAAACTGTTGAAAAAACTTCTTAACATGCATACTTGAAATAACACGCAAAAGTTCTCTTGCAGTCAAACTAGTTATAACTAGAACAAGGACTTTCATGCATTTGCATATTTCCCTGGTTAATTTTATCATATACAATATGCTTATAGTAAGTACAAAATAAAATTCCCATAGTTTGTGATGAAATACTCAATTCGCTTTTAGTGCATATTTTTGCATAATTTGAATAAATCAAGCATTTCTGTAAATATTTTTGATAAATCAAGGTTATCAATTATTTAATTAAAGATGATAGAGACTAAATACTATAATTTTAATTTTAATATTTAATGGTCAGTGGACAGTGGATAGCACCTATATAGATTACAATGTGGCTCATTATCTATAGTGCAACACAAAATTTATCAAATCATTTATTAGTTTATTACGTACTTACATTTTTGTTTAATATTAAGGAGATAGTATTAAGTATGGCAATGGTACAATAATTATTGAGTTGTAGTTTTTTTTAGCTCATATTTTTAATTAGTTGATGTGCAGGTTCATATTTTTAAATGCATAATTAATGATTTTTTAGTACATTAAGTCCTTGTTCTAGATAATTACTCTTTTTTTCTCAAAACATTCTATCTAATACTGCCGATATAGGTAATCTATCTAAAAAAACGTATTAAGAGGACGCATCATCAATGTGTGCTGTCTCTGTTATAAAAACAAACAACATGGCAATATTGTTTTAAGCACTTCCAATTGTATGTAGAAACCTTCAATCATATAGTGAGTTGACCTATTATCAAATTTAAATTTAACAATATTATCTGTTTCATCTCGTGGGTTTTTCAAAATATTTTAGTTTTCAGGCAACTTATGTGTGAATTATAATTCTATAAAAATTCTCATAACTCGCTTAAAAACTAAAATATTGCAAAAAAAACTCGAATAAACACAATTTTCTTAACTTTAAGTTTGATAACAAATCTATTGTTAAAGAGCAAGTAGGTACCTACTACCCAAAATTGGAAGGACTGATCTCAAATATTTTCCATGTTGTATGTTTGTAAGACCGGAGGCAACATTATATGTGGGTGTGGCGTCTTTCAGTCTTTGTCATAATAGAGACCGTTTAAAATAATTACTTTTCCATCTGAAAAATCAAGATAACTAAAATATTTATTACGTGGAGCGAACCAATTATTGATCTAATTTTATTGATCTCTTCCTCCTCTCATTTGAAATTTATTTTATATTTTATATTTTATCACATATTTTATTTATTGCACAACATAATTAATTTGTGCAGTTTGTTTAATTATCTTATGTAATTAAAGGCTTTTTAATAAACTACTAAGTAAAGGCTCAATATAAAATACTATTATGGTCAAAGAGTTTTTTTGTACCAAATACTTACGCATCGTCTTGCTAAGTTGCTACTTGCTACTGCATCTTTCATAAAATATATAAAAAATAAATAAGTATAAAAAAACTTATATTAAGCACATACCTATCTATAAGATTACCTAAAGGTTGTTAAAATATTGTAGGCATCCTAAATTTTTTTAGTCGCGTTATCCTAACCTCATGCGTTGAACCATTAATAACTTAAATATCTACTTAATTTAAAATTGAATCAAAACATCGTTTTGAATATTAAAATATAAAGAATGTAAATGTGTAGTTAAATCATATACGTAGGTACCTATTAATATGTCTGTGAGTTAAATACTTGAAAATACCCACCTATACATACATAAATATTTATACCCATTACCCACCTATCTTGATTAGACTACTTTTCAGTTATCTTAAAACACGCCGCTTATCAACATCGTTATCACTTATAATTACGTCTCCTGTAATCCGTATTCCACGGTCGTCAGTCGTCAGTCGAGTGTCGACTACTCTCGTTTATCCAATTTACTTATAGTTTGTTCTTTGGTAGTATCCCTATTCTCTAGTACTTTTCGAATCTACTCTTCTTGTCCGTGACTCCGTGGTCCGTCACTCATCTGGTTGATGGCCACACTAGAAACCCATTCAATTTTGTTCACTTTTATTTCGTAGTTTTATTTAAAGTTTCTTCTTGTCATTAGTTTTGATTATTTAACAGCTATCTTAACTATTCGCCTTCTAATTATTCGAGCTGAATTTCGATCGTGGTGATGAATATTTGGTGAACAATTTTATCAATCAGTTGGGTTTTTAGAAAATAATAATGACTTCCAACGGTGACAAATACTGTTATCTTTCCGAATTTAAATGGCTGCAAAAGTTTGGGCCATCGTACTTGGTCAAATCAGAAAACGTAAGTGTATATTTAAACTCAATTGATACAGCACTATAACGTGCACTTAATATTGTTTATTTTTACATTACGATGGTTTAGATCACAGCTTTAAAGAGCCCCTCTGAGTTCTATCACACACTTTTGGACCGATGTCGTACGGCAAAACATCGCATTGTAATAGCTTCTTTATACCTGGGCATTGGAAATCTGGAACAAGAACTTGTGTGTAAAATCTGCATGTGTTGATATTGTGTTGTGACTTATCATTGACTTATTTCAGGTACACACCATAAAAGATGCTATGGAAAACAGGCAAAAATTGAGCGTAAGGGTTTTGTTAGACGCTAACCGTGGGTCAAGAGGTAAAATAAGTTCACGCACCATGTTGATGTCAATACTGAATCCATCATTTGATTGCCGTGTAGGTAAATATGGTAAAATATAAATTAAACCCTTTATCTAATGTATAAATTATTTGTCATTAAGGTGTATTTGTACCATACCCCGAAATTGAGAGGTCTTCTTCGGTTGCTGTTACCTGAAAGATATAATGAATTAATAGGAATACAGCACATGAAACTATACATGTTTGATGACTCTATAATTATCAGCGGAGCAAATTTAAGTCAAGACTATTTTACTAACCGGTAAATAAATTTCCTACATAATTTATTTGTATTTTTTAATGATTGTGTTTTCATATTGATATTGCATAAGTATTAAAAACATTGTAATTTAAATTTTAGACAAGACAGATATATTCTCATTGAAGACTGCAAGCCATTAGTTGATTTTTATATAGGATTAGTTGAATTATTAGGCCGTATGTCATTTCAGCTGACAAATAAAAACACTTTAACGTTGGATCCTACTTGGGAACATCATCCATATAAGAGTCCTTATCAAACTTATGCTTCAGAGGCTAGAAAACAGTTAATGCATTATTATAATACACATATTATCAAACATCCAACTTCTGAAAAAGGTAAAATTTAGTTTTTCCGTTAAAGTATAATATGTATTATGACAACTTACTATTTTCTCATATATGATAGATACGGACACAATAGTTTATCCTTTAATTGAATTTCCTCCATTTGACATACACCAAGATAGTCAAACAACTAATCTTCTTATGTGTAATGCTAAACCGGGATCTACAATGCACATGGCCACTGGATATTTCAACATACCAGATATTTACACAAATACTATGTTCCAAAAATCATTGGCCAACTTCAAAATATTGTTTTCCCATCCAATGGCCAATTCATTTCAACAAGCTAAAGGACCTGCTGGATTTATACCTACTGCATACAGCTATCTCACAAATACTTTTTTTGGTGAAATTGAAAAACTCAAGCTTCATGAACGTATCTCTTGTTTTGAATACCAAAGAACTGGATGGACATTTCATTCCAAGGGTTTGTGGTACACTCCAAACAATTATGAATTGCCTGTACTAACAGCTGTTGGCTCTTCGAATTATGGTATATACTTATATTTTTCTTTAAGTATTAAATCAGCCCGGATATACCTATATTTTTTTACACTTTTCATCATACAATTGAGTTTTTTTGAAGATGGAATTATTTGTTTTCAGGAGCCAGATCATTGAATTGTGATTTAGAATCTCAATTGATAATTGTAACAAATAACAAAAAATTGCAACAAAATTTCCATACTGAAAAAAGTGATATTTTTAAATCAACATCATTATATATTCCAGAAAGTGAATTTAAAGCACCTCTTTGGGTACGATTTGTTTTAAGAGTGTTTAAAAATTATTTTTAATTATTTTGAGAAACCATTTTTTTTACCAAAAATATATTTTATTTAAAAGTATAAGTATGTTTATTCTTAATACTATTGAAATAATCCAAAATACTCATGTTATTTTCATCTTGGGCTTATATTCTTCAATTACCTTACGATACTATGTTTATATCAAAAAATGAATTGTTCATCTAATTTTATATTTGAACAACATTTTATCATGAAATAAAAACCACTTTTATTTGAGATAATACTCAATTTTTTAAATTACCTGTATTTTACATATTATTACTCTAGTTAAAAGTTGGGTTGTATACCAATTTTTAGAATTAAAATGTTGTAGAAGAAAAATAATTTTAAGCAAAGCTCATTTAGTCTATAAATAGTCATTATTTAGCTCAAATCTAATCTTAGCTTATAACTTTTTATTAGTGTTTTGCTACTTTTGTACTTTTCTCGAACACTAATGAGAAATCATTAAAAAATACCTGTTTTAAGTACTTATTATATATTAAACATTTATGTTATATTTATAAACATTTTGAGGTGCTAAATAAAATGTAAAGATCCATTTTTACTACAAGTAATTATTTAAAAAACTGTTTACCGCAAACATAATTTATTTTGAAAAAAATTAAGTTGATAAGTTCCTTCAAAGAGAAGAATCTATACTCTATAGTGTATTAATTTTATTTAATGGTAACATGTACTTATTATTTATTCAATGATTTTGTATTAATCTTCAATTTTACATTGTTATTTATAAGTTTGTAATAAGTTAAAATTCTAAAATTAATGTTATTTTAATACATTCGTTCTTTGAAAATATATGAATGTGTAAAATATTGTATTAATTTTTAGTTTAGCAAATATTTTACTTCAGTAAAACAATGTAAAACTATTCTTGCCATATTTTGTCACACACTTGTGATAAATTCAACTATTTGGTAGTTAATTTTAATTGTTTATTTATTTTTTCTTTTAGTTTTAATTTAAATATTAATTTCTATGTATTGTTGTCAGTTATATTTTTGATTTTACTCTGCTCAAAATAATAACAGATCTCAACAACTGGCTTCTGCACATGGTCGTGGCTTTGTTCCAAAGCACTGGTCTTGCATGTCGATTTGGTAAGGGACTGGGGAAGTGTCTAACTATGTGTCTAACTGCCGCCGAAGAAAACTTACCTCTGAGGTCTGTTCTTATCTTGAACAGAGTATAGTTACAAATTAAATTATTGATCAGTAAATTGTATTGCTTATTTTGTTTTAAACACCAATTTTCTTGTACCTAACAATTATTTATTTTCCTCTTAATGTTTGTGTGTTAATGTGTTATTACTTATTAGTTATTACTTACCCTACCTACTTATGTATTTGAATGAATAGAAGGTTGTGTATTAATATCAAAATTGTTCAAATGAGAATACTATGAAATAAATCTAAAATTTGTGTTTTCAATATAGATACCAACTATAGACTTAATTTTCAATAAATAGATAGGGGTTGCATCAATCTAAAGTAACTTGTCAATCCTTTTATTGCTGGAAATTGTGGCCATAAAAAAATCAAAACACATTCTTTGCTTCACTCAGTTGTATACTTGTATGATAGGTACCACTGTACCAGCAAACAATAAAGTTGCTACTTTATTCCACTTATTTTAATTCGATAAGTGTTTATATTTTTAAAATTGAATTGTATGAAATAATTTCTCTGGCCTAATAAATATTGTAAATAATGTAGGTACACATTGCATATATTTTTATTTTTGTGTATATGTGTACTATTATTGATAATCAAACCAAATAACTAAAAGTTTTTTTGTTTTGTTACAAAATTAACATAAGTCTATCTATTCTTTATTTAATATTTTTAATTAAAATGATTTTGAAGTGTATTTACTGTTAAAGCCTAAAGGGAAACTATTTAATAAATAATAATATTGTAATGTGCGATATACCTACTCGTATTTACTTGATTGTTATCAAAGTAAAATATGTAAGACTTAATGTAGGTATTAACATTTTTTTGTCATTTATTTTCTTAACAATGTCATAAAATATATCTTTAAAATTAAGACGAGAAGAGGACGCTGTACACTCACAGTTGTTGTTTCCGTCTTACAAACTTACAACATATCAATGTCAGCAATTATTTATAGATACCTAATAGTAGGATATTATTTAACATTTAAAACGAAATAGTGAATATTTCAATTTTAATCGGATACCTATGTGTTTACTATTTATACTATACAGTGGATTTCGCTTAATGTGGACAGTGGACACGTTGGGACCAGCCCTGTTTGCCCACATTAAGCGGTTGCCCATAAAAACCGAAATTAGTTTTGAAAAAAAATTATAGTAAAAAAAGTTTTTATTTGTATTATCATATATGTTATTGAAAAAATGTTAAATAATTACTAGGTATACAAATAAAACTAAATACATATAATATACTAAATAAAATTAATCTTTGAATGTAGAAGGTTATAACTTATAACACAATCTCATAGATATTCATCACCAACAGACTAAGAATAGGTCACACCAGAATAACTCATGGTTACCAAATGTCCCGAGTGTCCTCACGAAATGTTTTGAATACCTCGATGCAAGGAAACGCAACATTTATCCGGTGACTTATATGACATACTTGGACCAGTCCTGCCATCACCTAACATATTCGTGTTCCTCCAGGTGACAGGATTGAACAAACTCATTTAACCTTCTGAACGACACAACTTTAAAAATTAAAATTGAAACTTTAATAATAATTTTTTATATTATTATGTCACACTTATTTGTAAAAAAAAAATGTATCTTACCCGATGGCCTTGTTGCTGAGGGTGAAAAAAAATCCCATAGATACGGCGAAACCCGATTAAACTAGTCCTTTTTAAATACATAAATGTATATTCTAACGCTATGATAAAATAAAACTGCCCACACAAACCGAATCGAGTGTCCATATTACGCGGTTTCATTTAACATCGTTAATATACATTTTTATTGGGACCAGACATGTTTGCCCACAATAAGCGGATGCCCATATTAACCGGTGGCCACATTATAAGCGGAATCCACTGTATTAATGTTTTTTGTTTTATTAGCTTCTACTGCTTCTAGTGTAAACTATGATAGCTCAATAATTCATATTAATTTATTTTTTTTTTTTGATTTAAGCTTCGGCAACTGAGGCCATTAGCTGTACTAATGTTATATCTACCTAATAAGTTTTAACTTACAACTTTTAACAAAAATCCGCAGACAATCAATGTAATAATGAACAATGGACAGTAATATCCATTGGATATAGATTATGAACATAAGCTCAATTAAGATGGCTGCGAGGGTCGGTCCACCGGGATTTTTCCCGGTATCCCGTGAGTCCAATCCACCGCTGTCTACCACCTAGGACTAGGTACATTATACGTAGGCGAATCAATCAAAGACAGTCAACTATTGTAAAATATCTTAAACTGTTGAACAAGTAGCTGTATGCAATATCCGTGAATCGTTTTAAAACCACTATTCTATATTTCTATTCCAATCCTATGCATTACCCTATAACTCTATGTCTACATAGTGTCACATACAGCCCGATACAGGTAAAAAACACGAAATATTGTAAGACTGAAAGGTACACTTGTCTACAGATTTGTTCTCCTCGAATCTTAAATACAGTTAATTTTAAAGAATAAAAACCTGTTTTGGAAAAAAATATAAACATGTATTTTAACATACCAACCACATGCTTTATTTTTTACAGGTATATCTACAGCTTGTAATTCAAATGTATTTATAAGATAGGCATCTCTGAAAAACGGAGTCCGATGTTTGTGTAGGTACCTATATACACGTTTATTAAGCAGGTTGGTACCTACTTATTTATAATTACAATATTTCTTCTTTGATGTTTATTTAATTTTCAAGTAGGTAGAAAAAAATAAAAACTGGTGTTATAATTATTTTTATTTTTTAAAACCCCTAATAAAGGTTTCAACCGAAATCGTGAATATTATTTTCTTAATTTAGGTACCTGTATATATTATGTCCTAGAGAATAAAGCAGTATCTACCTATCACCTATGCACAGTGGAAATATTGCTTATTTGACTAGTAAAATAATTACTCAATGTAAATACTGGATATTTACCTAGTAATCTTATCTAAAACGGATTTTTTCGTATGTACACGTCTTTATCTTCAAACAATGAATGGTCGTGACACGACAGTCACAAACGTTATGCACCAAATGTTTTGGTCAAAAGCATTTATTGAGATTTGTCGGATAGGTAGGTACGTCCGTACTAACTTCAACCATTATGTGTTTATCGTTCTACTAATATTTGTATTACTATCACTTATCAGTAAACATAATTTTTTATATGCATGTTTATAAAATATTGGGAATACTGTTTGTGTACCTATTCAGAAAACTGTTAAAATACTTTTTCCAAAACGTATTAAAAGTATTTTATCTAAGTCTGTGAATACAATTTTGTGGTACACCATTTATATTAAATTTGAATTCACATCAATGTGTAAATTTTACAATAAAAAGTTTCTTCGCGGATATACCTACCCAAATTGTTTAAGTTTATTTTTCTTTTAATACACAATAATACTAGATAAAAATTCGGTATCTCCTTAAAAATGAAAAAAATAACAAAAATAATTAGCTAAGTACAAAAAAAATTTTCAAAAAATTAAGGATGCCTCTGTCTAATTATTAATATAAAAAAAAGTGGGCAAAAATAACGATTTAATAGTGGAAAAAAATCGAAAAACTCATTTGTCCAACAATTAAATTATTGGAGATACTGCTTGTTCCACTTGGAGGAAAGTATATACCTTCCTACTCACTAGGTACTTTATAAAAGCGTGTTCATTATTCAATATTACTGTAGATCTCTTTATGTTGCGCATATTATTATTGAGTACTATTTTAATTAGGTTCCATACAAAAAAATTATTAATAGTACCTACCTATTTATTATATTATTATAACCACATACCGTTTAATATGCCTAATAACAATACTAAAATTAGGTTTTAAGAAAATATTTAGGCACACGATATACAGCGTATCTACACTTCAAAGCTCAAATAATATTACATGGTATATAGCCATGTTTAGGTACCTATGTAGGCAAGTCGTATATTATTGAAGCTATAAGCAAAATTATTTAAGTAATAATATAATAACAACGTGATTTTGAATAGAAATGCTAATTACTTTTTATATTTTCATTAAGCGAATATTGTTAAATTGTCAACGATGTTGTTGTTGTAATGAAATTTCACGCAACGGGTTTTGTTTTTAAAGCCACGGGACATGGCAAGATTATTCAAATTTATCAACAAAACCAGTTGAAGTTTTATTATTATAAAAACCAACGCATCGGAAAGGTTCAACTCTTGTATCGCCGAGTTCACTTCAAGAGTAGGTAACCGTCTACTTACCCACCTATAAATGTTTTAATATTATAGTTTTTGTGAGTACCCATATATTTTTTTAACATAATATTATTTAGGCGAAGTACAACTATACTATACTATAGGTAACTACTAACTACTACCTATATTATATTATAGTAAATAGAAATTAAATTATTTTAATTTGGGTATATAATAGACTATTTCTACAACGGCAATTAGCAGGTACTTAAATAATGTAATAATTGTATAAGTATGCTATTCTACTAAGTATACTTACAAATTAATTTATATTAGAAAAACGGTGTATTACTGTCAGCAACCTGGTATACATTTTTTTTTGTTATAAATTTAATGTAATTTTAATTAATTACAATTGTAATGCTTTTTTTATATCTGTCTTCATAATAGGTGGTAATCCTTGAAATTGGATGACAAAAACTTAACTGCCTACAAGGGTTTAAAATTGGATTTTGTTATGATTCCGTGTAGTTGTCTAATATGCATATTAATTATCTCTGAGTGTTGTTATAGGTACAGTTATGCTATACTATACACTGTATAGTATATACAGCGTGCAGATTATAGCAGCTATAGCTTATAAGACAATATATTTTTCTGTATTTTTTAGCTTGACACATTACAAAGTTTACTCCCTACCTAAGAAGGTGATCACCTGGAGTAGGTACTAAACGTAAGTTTTTTTAAATATTTAATTTGTTTAAATAGTTACCTATGTAAGTTTATAAATAATTAATGTAAGTAGGAAGTACGAATGTAGGTAAAATCCTACGTAGATAACCGAGGCATTGATATCGGCGTTGATGTAAATTTTTCACTTTTCAGTAGGTACTAAAATAATATAACTACCTATAATATAATATATACAACTGTAGTCACCATCCGACTCTGTTATGATGTGCCGATGGTTTTAACGAATTTCCACGAAGGAATTATTTTTATTCACTCAGGTTGTAGAGATAGTTATAAGAGTCCAGATATTGATGTACAATCACTAAAATTGATAATATATACTGGAGCGCGAATTCGCCATTCTCCAAATGAAAATAAAAACGAGCCGTCCGATTTCCGCTTCGCGCATCGTCGAAGGGAAAAAAATTTTATTTTTACATACGATGGACGTGTAGTAATGATAATTTTCGTTCATAATAAATTTCAATTATTTTTTATATTTATTTAACACATTAAAAATGTAGTAATAATTAATCATTACCTTATTGTATGAGATTAGTACTCACATTCTTAATGATATGAAAAAATATAATATTTGACAATAAATTAAAATCACGTAGAGAAACCTATAGGTAAATCATGATTTAAAAAGAAAAAATAACCCACATATTTTTTTTTCTTACATAATTTATTAAGGCTTCGACAACAAAGGCTTTATGGCCTGTATAAAGTATTAACTAGGTATTAAAGAAGAAAATATATAAACTAATGTACATTAAATCTAAAAATAGTAGGTATGTACAAATATTGACATGTCTTAGAGAATTATAATTTGTGGCTTAAGTTTATAGCAAGGAAAAATGTGATGATTGCAGTCGTGTTCTCTTCCTTGAGTGCTCGGTGAAGTGATGTGAAAGGGTTGTTCATTATCTTGCAGCCTTTGGTGTATTTGTTGCCATTTTTAACAATGTGATCCATTGTTAGTGTCTCATTGCATGTACTCGTATCACGTCATATCGGTGCTGGTTCTTTTGTGATGAGGTGAACGTAATGTGAGTGGCCTATTTTGGCTCGGGTAATGATTACTTCCTCTTTTATCTTAATGCTAGAGGTTGGTTCTTAACTTACAGTTTTCTAAATCTATTGGAGAGTGTTAGATTTGACCAGCATTTGTACCATTCTTCCATTATTTTGTGTTGTATGATGTTGAAGGTTTCGGATGAAGTTAGATGATTCATTTTTGTAGAGAGAGAGGAGACTTGATGGTGGCTTCGTAAGATTTTATATCTGCTGAACAAGCTCATTTTTGGGGTACGGGTTTGAGATTGACAAGAAGAGGGCGCTCGAAGAGTCACTGATGATGATGTTACAACTTTTCAGATTTGAAGATGAGATCATTTTTAGTGCTTCATCTGTATTGTATTTGTAGAATTTAGTCGGTTGGGTATTGATGCTTGGTGACCACAGTCAATGGGGAAGAGAAGACCGGATTTTATTTAGTGTTTGTTTTTGGAAAGATAGGTTTTTACTAATTGATGTTGAGTTTTCGAATATTATGGTACGAGTGGGTAGCGGGTTAGGGGGTAATGGATTGTGAAAGGTATTATTGGTAATGTGGTACACATATAATATAACAGTGTATTTACTATTTACCTAAGAGTACAAAATTATTTTATTAGTTTACATAAATACACACACAAATAACCTAAAAACATTATAGGTATTGAAAATGAGAATATCTTGGGACGCCTTATTGTTATTGTTCCAGGCACCAGTATAATAGTGATCGATCATCCATATTAACGATATTATATTTGTATAATAATTAATAACTATTTGTCTATATAACATGATGCAGAGAGACTGAGATATAGTATAATTGTATGACATATTAAAATAGTTTATCCCGTGTTATACTTAATAGTTTATACATATTAAAATGCATAGGTGTGGACGTAATGCAGTTATGCCAGTACAGTGCCGTGCTAACTTTCATTGGCTCCCCACTTGCCGCATTTGCCTCCCCCCCTCGGCGAAGCTCTGGATATGTACCTGAAGATTATGCCAGTAAACTAAGAACTTATAAGTGTTATTTTTGTTATGGTTAACGCTTATCTGAATAATGTAAATCGAAAATTGATATAATTATTATTTTATACATTGTAGGTATTGTGTGTAAATTGAGTTCGACACATACATATATACATAGTTTAGGTATAGGTTAATCGTCAGTCAAGTTTTCCCAATCTCAATTTTTAAGTTTTGGCGCCGTAGGTGTGTCGTGTTTCGTGTATCATTGTCTATACGGAATAAATCCATTATAATTATATAACTATTTTTTTATATTAATGAAATGAATTATCATATTAATAGATTATTAATGTAATAATGTACAATACTTATTGGCTATTGCAGTATTGCTCATACGTTGTTTGAAGTCACAAACGAAAATTCACATAACGCACGAAACAATTTCAAAGTTTTTAAACGTTAATATCATATCTTAATACTAATAGGTAAGTAGGCATTAGGTAGTTAGGTACCTCCTATTTTATGCAGAACGGTGTGCCCTATACCGTTACTGGGACTATTATACTGCAGGGAGATAAAATCCCGGAAATAATTCAACTTTTAAAAATGGAATTCCGGGATCATAATCTGCCGTGGAAACGGAATTCGTTAAAATCGGGAAAATATATAGTGTTTTACAGAATAATATGTTTTAAAGTCAAGCATAAGACGTATATGGCATGTTCATTATATTATTGTACAGACTCCGGACACGATGCCGAATTCGATTGCGGCGACGGTCGCGGCACTTGCCGTCCTGCTTCACGGGGTCACCGGCCTCGACAACGGGTTGGCTTTGACGCCGCCGATGGGATGGCTCGCGTGGCAGAGATACAGATGCATCACGGACTGCGAAACGTATCCAGACGAATGTGTCAGGTATGTGAACATCGTGAATAATAATAATATGTGTGTACTGCGGCACTGCCCGCGACGAATGTAAAAAACTCGATTTTTTTACCCACTATTTTGCTCGAATAGCGAATACTGCGCGCACCTTACATTGCGATACTGCCCGTGCGAGTGATCGTAACCCTTCCAGCGCAGTGTATTTTCAAAATTTACGAACGGGAAAATTCATTACCTTAACGCGTTTATTCTAAGCGACCGACGTTTTTTCATCCGCGTGTCTGGTATATACCGGTGTATACCTAACATAAAAATATAATATAATAATACAATTACCTATTGTATTGTTATATATACAAAATATAGTATTGTGGCTTGGCGAGGCGCGGTCGTACGCTCCGACATTGTTAGCACTCGGATAGGATGGGTGACCACTCTTGTTTTAAGCCACACATACAAATACGTGTTTCCAAATCAACCGTTTCCCCCTACAAACAGCTAACGGCCATAGCTTCCGGGCTTTAGCACATAAAAAAAAAAGACGGCGTATATAAGTATACCCTCGAATACCAATTTACGAATCACAATATTGTTTCAAAACAACCTCCCTAAAATAACCTAACCTAGGTGATACTATTTTAAAGGTATTATAGCCCGTATTTAGGCTAATGTGAACACTTTCTTTGAAGCCTTTATCTAATAAATTAAGTATTGTTTATTTTGTATTATAAAATCTAATATCTATTGAGACGAGGTTCGTATAATACTAGTGATGAGGTACTTCATTTTTCGTGTTCTGTATTCAATAGTAAATTACAATATTGCGTATACGTATATCTAGTGAAAAGCTGTTCATGAACGCGGCTGATTTGTTGGTCAGCGAAGGCTACGCAGACGCGGGATACCAATATTTAATCGTGGACGACTGTTGGTTGGCCAAGAATAGATCGGCTGACGGGAAATTGGAAGCCGACAAAACGAGATTCCCGAGCGGTATCAAAGCACTGGCCGACTACGTAAGCTTAAATAATTAATAAATTCATGATGTTATCATATTATAAATTATAATGCAACTACATTATACTCGCACACAACACATTGAATATAGTCATGATTTTAATATCATTGAAAAATAAACCAAAAACAAAATGGCAACCCTAATCTTAGGACGTAACACATAACGCATGGATTCGTCATCATCGTTATGGGTGTCATAAATATAAAATAAATAGCTACGAAGGTTCTTAGTACATCATATTGAATTTAAGTTGAACATTTTCAAAATACATTTTTTTGTTGTTTTTTGTGCCAATGTCCAGTATATACTATCTACATAAGAGGATATTTACCTATTCATTATTATCAAACTTGAACACTGCTATAGCATGTATTATATTGTATATAATATTATACATGCCGTGATCTCTTGTCGGTTTTTAAGTTTTTTTTCTCAATACTTTGATACCACAATTTAAAAAAATATATGTTTATAAGAGGAAATCAAAATATCGAAGTAAATACTAAATTCACCGATAACGTTTTGGGCTTTAAATTGATATTATAGGTACGCTATACAGGTACTCTAACGGTTTAATGACAAAAACGACTGAAGACTGTATTGCAAATACAATTTAAATATACGCTTAATGAACTTTTATTTCCGAGTATGTACAATAATTGTAGTGTGTTAGATTATGTGCAAATGTGAATTTGTATTAATACGGTGATAAAAAATTGTATTATACGAGATATTATACACATGGTCGTATAATGTTTTTTTTTATATAATCTGTAAAAAAAAAAATGTTATGTGGGTAATATCATAAGAAAATAAATTTGATATTTAACTATATAATCTACTATGAATTATTCTAATTCATGGTTGCATTATTTTAGATTAAAATTATTCTAGTAGGTATATCAGGATTGGTAGCATGAATTTAATATTAATTTACTCTAAAATAATTCCTGTATTGTTGTGGTTTTTAAAATATTTTCTGAAATTATTGAGCCATTTTAAAATTGGTCATTAGTTTTATAACCGGTTTTCAATTTCCGTTAATTTAAGGTACTTACTGCAAGGTTCAATACAGTATAAAACGGAAATATATGCATATACAAAAATACAATATTTTAACATGTCCAGTTATATATTGTGTGCGTGTGAAATTGAGACAACAAATTCACGTGTTGGGGGACGTCTTAAATAAAATAGTAAACTGAATCTGAGAATCTCTCGGCAGAAAAGTCTTCAACTTCTTTTGAATCTCGATACCTGCTGTTTGCGATACCGATATTCATATTCTGTACAATATAATATTATATTATCTATTTAAACACATTTGATAAATATTTAACAATTATTGGTCTGTGGACACTAATATTATTTATACAGAATTGATGTAGTTGGGCACACAAAAAAAAAGTAACATGGTTTAATATTCCCTTATTAATCTGCTACAGGTGCACTCGAAAGGATTGAAATTCGGTTTGTATCAAGATTGGGGAGAGAAAACTTGCGCTGGTTACCCGGGCGTGCGGGGCAACGAAGAGAAGGACGCCAAACAATTCGCAGAATGGGAAGTCGATTACGTAAAATTAGACGGATGTTATTCGAACGTCAGGGACATGGACAGAGGTAAAATTACTTATATACACATTGAATTCTATTCCCTACATAGAATTATACATAATTATTCAGAATATCATGATTTCGCAGAAAAAGTTTTACCCGCTATTATATTGGAATTAGTCGCAAAAGGTTCGAGCTTCTAAACTTATAACTTTATAAGTTGTAACTGTTATATAAGTTATAACTTTACAAGTATTATAACGATAAGATATTTTGTAGATGCGAACAAAAAAATTTAAATAAAAATATGAACATACATGCATGAATAATACATTGTGTTATAAGTCATAACTTATAATTATACATTTTTTCATATTGAATTATTAGGTAGTTAATGATATATAGAACCTATACAGTCAAAAAACATAAGTCTTAGCCCTTAGGTGTAAACTACATGTATACAACAATTACACAACTATAAAACTGTTACTATAATAAGTCAATACCAAAATATACAGGTGGTAGCTCCTATAAATTATAATATTAGTTTGTTGCTCAAGTTTAATACAAGGAAATGGATACACACCAATAACGAACCTACTATTTATTTATTTATTTATTTCTATTGATCTTAGTAACATCGGCTACTAATCTACTATAGGCCATTAGTTATTATTCATATGATGGCTCAACAGTTATAGTAATATAGAATACAATAGTAACATAACTTATAAATATATGACAGTATTTTGATAACATAAAATTTAACAGATTAAAAGAGATATTTAAGAGTTAGGTATAACATAGTATTATACGTACGATTAACTAACATAGTGTGAAAACAATGGACTTGACGGATAAAAAATATTTGAAGGAGATTTTAAGGAATGGTGGAGACGGGGAGGATGATCTGTTAACTATATTATGTACTATTATTGTACTATGCTTTTTCGAATTATAATCAACGAAATATTTTTAAAATATTAAATAGTACAATTGTAAGGCACTCTCGTGGACCTTTTTTGGCCTATCCTGCAACATCAGACCTATTTTCAATAAACTATAATTTATTAATATACTCTGACCCGTCTCTAACTTCTGTACATATAGGCGATCAGACAGTTAAACATTAATTTTTCCGCTCTATTACAACCACCTCTCTCTTATTTTCATTATTGTACATGGATAATAATTTTAAATTTTCGGAGATATATATACATATATAATATAGTTATTATATATATACGTAGTAAGTAGTAACTATACAAACTAACTAGTATATACACGTCCACATTCCACAGGTTACGTCGAATTTGGGAAACACTTAAACAGTACGGGAAGGCCAATGGTGTACTCATGCAGCTGGCCGGCATACCAAGAAGAGAAGGGGATGCGGGTAAGTGTGTGGCTAGTACCAAATTTGTTCCTGAGCCCGAACCCGGCCAACCACATACCTAAGTGGTTCCCGTTTGACAAAAGTATTTTATTAAGATAAGCTGAATTGGTCCCCTTTAAAATTTAAAATCGTTAATTTAGAAATCAGCCAGTCATTACTTACTCACTTTTTTAAATAAAAATAATAAAATATAATATATACAATTTTAAGATGTTGATTTGCAAATTTGAAGCAAACTTCCTTCAAATATTCAATTTGTATAAGTGTATTTTATATTAATGTACTCAGTCATTGTCATAAAGTTTTTCAAGTATTGGTTATTTCTTTCCTGTTTGCTGGTAATTTTTCTTGAATTATTACTTCGAAGTTTAACATAAAGCCAATATAACAATTTTCCGTGATCTTAATATTTTATTGTAAATACTAAGGAGCGTAAGGATACGTTTATATTTTGTACCAATTACACATACATATGATTAACTATTGTAAAAGAATGCTTAAAAATGATAATTGTAGTCATTTGACCTGAACACAAACGGGAACCAATTCGGCACAACTTAATAAAATACCTTTTTCAAACGGGAACCAATTCGATCAAATAGGAACCAAATCAGTTACTCCCAAGTGTGAATTGTGGTCCCGAGGTGTGAGGACGAAATTAATGACTATAATATTTTATATTTATACGTATAGTATTACATACTACAATCATATTATAATATAACACATAATATTATGATATGCATATAATATGTACATCAAATGTATTATGTATTATTTTGATAAGTATTATCCTTTTAACTTGTATGTGCTGATTTTTGTATATTAATGTATCGGGCAAAATGTTTTGGTAAAATTGTTTTTTAGGTACGTATTATATACATATAATATGTAATATATTATGCAGTGGTCGTTAGGAGAGATTTTTCCATGCTTTTATGTTATTAGTGGTTTATTTTGGAAAATATGATGCAATGAATGTTAATTCAAAATTCTAATGCAGTACCACACTTCAGATCGAAAAACCAACGCAGATGGTACATTTCGGTGTGGAGTCTTAGGTGGGCATTAAAGATTTATTTAAGATCTCAAGATATTGCTTACAATTATAAAAAAAAAAGGTTGACAAGTGGGTACTGCGGCATTTTCTATATATACATATGGTATAATTTTCAAACGTCATAAATTATTTTTCAATTAGAAATTCATAAAAGTTTTTCTTCTCATATAGTTCAACATTATTAGACATTTGAATAGAAGATTCCTGACAAGTTTTTCTACCTCTATTCAGAATCGGAAAGTTAAGCTTTTTATAGCCATGAGATATTTTTCTTGCATTGACATTTGGCTCTTAAAGTTAAACTCAACCAATGTTGGTGAATAAAACTGCAGCTGATTATCTGTATAGAGACAATAATATGTTCACAGCTGCAATCCATCTTTGCAGGGTATTATTTTCGCTTCGTCGAACATAGTGTCATTGTCCGTATTGCGTTCCTCGTAATGTTCTCTATCCTCATAGTTCACAGAAGTCAGAGTTATCATTTTCTACAATGTTTAATTTCGATAAGTATTCAGTCTGTAGGAATCTAAAGTCCATCTATTGAAGAATATATCGTCTTATACTCCTATGCATTCGTCGAAAACACTGTTGGAGATAGTTCCGAATCGGAACTTCCGATCACTCGCACTATCCGGTGTATTTGAGTTTTCTCTGTTTTTAATTTTGATTTTATAATTTTCGTATTTTCCATAATATCATCGTGCGATTAAATTTATCTTTCAACTATAATATTCCCGTCAAGTACAGATTAATTACGCTTTGATGGCTGAACACTGCAATCTGTGGCGTAACTACGGGGACATTGATGACTCGTGGAGCAGTGTAACAAGCATTACCGATTACTTCGCGTTGAAACAGGAGTTTTGGGCGCAGTACGCGGGACCCGGACACTGGAACGATCCAGACATGGCAAGTGCACGATTTATGAGATTATAATCTATAATAAAGCGACGTTAAAATGCAGCTTATAGAATATACATATAATTACTTATATATACGTCGGAAATCGTTATGTACGAGTTTTTAAATCATCGGTGTCGAGCGCAATATAATCCATAGGTGCATGTTTTTTTTTTTTTTTACAGCTCTTGATCGGCAACTTTGGCCTGTCATTCGACCAAAGCAAATCGCAGATGGCCCTCTGGGCAGTGTTGGCAGCTCCCCTGCTCATGTCCAATAATTTGACCGGTGTACGCCCAGAGTTCAAAGAAATCTTACAGAACAAAGAAATCATAAAGATCAATCAAGACGCCCTGGGAATACAAGGCACTCGAGTTTTTAGGGTGAGTATACTTGTAAAATATTAATATTAAATATATTGCACATATGTACACACAATGCAGCAGATACAATGTGTTTGTTAGCAGTGGCAAAACTAGGGCTAAGATGTTAGAGAAGGGGGGGGAGCTGTAGCCCTCGCCTGATATTACAGGAAAAGTAACCCGCGGGGGCATTGCCTTCACGCCACCCACATATATTCACTTACTACCTAAGATATAAACAAATTTTAAAAAATATTCATTTACTCATTTCGTTATTCACAAAAATAATATACTGCAACGGTTCATCTTAACCTGTGGTCCGCGGCAGCCTTACCACCTAACATAAGTTAATACGTGACATTAGTGCATTATTACAATATTTTTGGATTATTATTTTTGTTTCATATACAATTATAATCTTATATAAATGTGTATATTTTGATATGTCTACTTCTATAACTTGTAATATAAAATAGTTATTATAATTTTGGTTATGATAACTAGATATGTTTTGTAAAAAAAAAGGGATTCGACAAAAAATTGGTAGGGGGGTCCGCGATTTATAAATATATTTCGTCGGGGGTCCATGTTCTACAAAAGGTTAAGAACCGCTGATATACTGATTGTATATTATAGCTCAGAGTTCAGACAGTTCAATGCATATACATAATGTAAAATTATAAATAATAATCGTACCAATTTACCGGCATAAATCGTTTCTGTAAAAACAAATACAGGAGTACACCTAATGATATTAACTATATTTATCATAGGCAATATTCAATTATCATAAACTTTAAATAGAAATAAAATAATTTAGTTTTTTCCAAAAACAATAAGAATTACATTTGAACTCTACAATATTTTACTAAAATATAATTTTAAAATAATTTATTTGTATTCTTTATTTTGGGGGGAGTGGGGAGGGGGGCTAAGCTCCTAACATTATATTAAATCTTGATAAAATTTACATATTTTGTTAAATGTGTTTTTAAAAAAAAATTTCAACCGCCACCAATGGTTGAAGTGCTTAAAGCTCAATACCTAAGTAGTTACCCATGTATTATACTATTATTGTTATCTAAATTAAAACACACAGTTGTTAATCTTCTAACGTTTTCCGCTTGTTTTTATTGTATTTCAGGATAAGAGTATTGAAATTTGGACCCGACCAATCGAACCGGTTCATCACGGAAATTATTCTTACGCTGTGGCGTTTGTGAGTCGTCGCGAGGATGGCGCTCCCTTTCCGTACAAAATAACTTTGGAAGATTTAGGACTGAAGTACCACTTTGGTTACACAATTAAGGTAATTATAACTAATTAAAATCATGTTGTTATTTTTTTACTCGCACATTAGCATTCTGCGCCCGGCTGTGTGTATATACAATATACTATATATAATATCTATTATATAATTATTATTTAAATATGTTAGGTACACATTTTAATGGAAAGTGAAGATCTATGTGGTTCTTAAAAATCGTCAACACTTATTTTATCATTTTATTATTAAAAATTATATTTTTGGACATCTTTTAATAAGTTTCCTACTTTTTTGTACGACAGTATATATTTTCATATTTTTTTCATATTCTGAACTTCCAAAGAGGAATATTTTTGTCCTTAATAACTTAAAATTATATTTCCAAAATAATTAACACTTTATGAGCAAATAAGTATACCTTTAGAATAATTATTTAGTACACATACATTATGATAGATAGATACCTGGATAGCTAAAAAGTAAAAACAAGAAGACTTATTACGTGTATAGGACACAGGCCTAAGACATGACCAATTTATGACACCACCACTTTATTTTGAGTACAACAAATTACGCTTACAGATAAGGGCCTCATAGTTTTAATGGCTTATTCAAACGTTATTGTTTTCTTTTAGTAATTTTATTATTCATCCATTACAGAATTTGTTTGATAAACCGACCTCAAACTTAACCACACATTTCGCCTTGCCAAGGACTACACTCCACGTACGAATTATTCCGTCAGGTAAAATAATAAACCGTAAAACGTTATGTATACATTAGTCGAAAATAATAATTTTACGCGTGTTTGTATCGGCGTAATCACTAATAAGTATTTATTATTTATGATTATTATTAATTTATTTAAACCAGGTGTTGTGTTCCTGCGATGCAATGTTCTAACAGCCAAGTTACAGGAAGATAATATTTACAACGATGCACTCAACAGAACCGTAACATTTAAATAAATCCAGTTTTATAAAAACATGATACAAGTTTACTTACAATTTATAAATATTTATATTATCGTACCTACCTACACGATATAACAATGCTGTGTATAAAAGTTACAATTATACACACGTAAATTGAATAAATATACAGACATTTTTTATGCTACCTAAAATATTTTTACAAAAACCTCAGTATAATATCATGTAGTTGTGATAGAAGGGTCGACAGTGTTGAATGGTGTTTGTCAATTCATGATGAACATGAAATAATTTTTTAACATTCAACAATACGATTTACCACTTACAAAATATTGTCTAACGTCAATATGAGAATGCATAGTAATTGTTTGATAATTAAAAATATTATGATGCTGTTCAAATTAATTTCGTTGTACCTAAATGAACAAAAATTAAAAATATATTTACCTATGCACAAAATGTACATAAAACTAAATGACTTACGTCTTATACCAATCACTAGCGTCGGGCAAGTAACTTTTCAAAAATAATTAAGTTAGGTTGCTCGTTACTTAGAGATTAATGTAATAAAATTACTATACTCATCGCTCAAATAAGGTTGTAATGGAATTAGTAACTACCTACTAAATATCTTAGCAATATTGTCATTCTACAATCAACGTAACTACAAAATAATACACTACAGTAAAAAGGTATAATTTGAAAAATATGAAAAAAAAATAGTTATAATAATAGTACACACATAACAATATATCAATATTATCGTTTTGACTATTAAAAAATAGTGCCGCCAAATGACTATAGTAATTTATAACCCTGCAATGCAAATATATTTTGATTTGTCATTATCAGTAAGTATACTAAGTACATACCAGAAAAATAATGTTTTACCTACTCTGATGTAAATTATAATTAATATAGTAATAAGTATTTCAAAATTGAACAACTTTTGTACAGTTCTAAATTCTTAAGAATATTAAAAACAAATAACAATATATAATAAAGAAAAATAAATAACAGTCTTCGTAATATATATATATAGGCGTCTTTGTATTATCGCCAAGTCAGGAACAGCGCAATAAGGCTTATGGGTATATTAGGCGTGTCAGCTATTTAGTATGGCAAAGTCATATACCGATCCAAATAGATACAGATATTTTAAGTTGTATCAGTAGAATATTAATTAGTTATTAAAAAGAAATATTTAACAATCATGTTGTGATACTAGGTATTTGTATATCCGGAAATGTTTAAATAGTTATTTTGAACACTAATATAGTATATTTTTTTTTTGTAATTTAACCAATCCCCCCCCCCCCCTCAAAAAAAAAAAATCCTGGATACACCGCCATTGAATTGCTTATTATTTTGAATCTATTTCTTCCCAACCAATGTTTGAAATAACATCATAATTATGTTGTAGGGGGTTTATTAACAACAACATAGAAAGTCAAAGTACGGTAGGTAATCGCTGAATTCGCCAAGATGTAGCTGGGAGGCTAAACTACATTTATGCCAAAAAGTGACTTTATAAAATTGGTTAAAAAAAGTTACTATCACCATTGAGCATATATTGTACAAAATGGTATTTAGGAATTGGGATCACTGAGTCGATAGAAAGATCTATGGCGTATGGCTCAGACCGTCTGAGAATTGAGACGAACGACAATAATTTTTATAAATTTATCAATAATTAGCATTCGCCATGTAGCAAAGGGAGTTGGCCAGTCCTCACAACGAAAAATTGTGTAGTAAGTATTATTAATATTCATTTTTTTCCTAATCTTTTGCAGAGGCTGCGAGGTATATCTAAACATAAAAATATAAGTTCATCTTCTATTGTCATTTGTCCCGGTCAAGGTGTTATCAGCGCGACTTTAGTTTGACCGTTAATTGTTATAGCACAAAATTCAAATATCGCTCGCTCGGTATCCTGTTATAGCGTTATACTACGTAATACTAATATACATATATTTTTAAATACCTAAGACAACAAAAAATAATTTAAATAGTTTATAATGCAGGTACTATATACATGATTTGTAATGCTGCTTCAGCTGACCATCGCATCGTTCACTTTTACAGTTTCGACGTTGGTCGAATAATAATGAAGTTAAGTTTTTTTTTTATCAATGGGCTATGGTGCAACTAGGGTTGAAATTCTACAGGGGCAAAGCCCTTCTAAAAAAACTATCAACTTAAAGTAAGCCATAATCTAAAATAGGGGTGCCTATACCTAAAATCAATAAGGGATATATTTTGGGGTATGTCCAAATCGTAGTCAGGGGTCGTAGCCCTCATAGGGCCATGATAGGTGTCCCCCAGTTGCGACCCTGGCTATGGCCATAACTCACAAGGCTCTAGCCTCCATAACATGTTTTCGTCCTCTGTTGTCTTGGTATCGATTTTCTACACGACGATTTCGAAACATTTTACAGATGATTTGTTATGCATGCCCACGCGCAAGATGTAAGAGTTTTACTTTTACATAACATTTAAAATAAGTGTCGCCTAACCGGTGACAGTGTGTTGAAAAAAACCGGTCCGACCCGGTGGGACAGGAGTAGTGTGTTATAATAACAAGTATTGTACACACAACACTGTGTATACCAGCTGCTCGTCGAAATAAATAGTTGTATTACGATATTGTATTGTACTATAATTCACAATCGTCGTGAGTCGTCAAAACGAGCCGGACGTCGAGTAATAGGTATATTATTACATTCGGTAAGACGCGCAATACAGTTGTACATTATTTTCGGGTCAAGTCGAGACGAGACGACGACGGCGACCACAGAACGTAAGTTAAGGTAAGTGGTTTTCTCTTATAAACACGAAATCTAGAAGAAAATAAAAAGTCTCCACTGGATAAAGGTGAAAAGGTGTCCGCCAGAATGATCGTCACCACAGCGGTACGATGGACTTTCTGTTTGGTAATCGTGACAATAATGGGAATCGAAGGGCTCGACAACGGGCTCGCTCTCACGCCACCGATGGGATGGCTCGCGTGGCAGCGATACAGATGCATCACGGATTGCGAAACGTACCCCGACGATTGCGTCAAGTAAGTATCAAATTCGTCAAAACTACGAGTGGTGAATGGGGGTGAAATCCGTTTGAGCGGTCAAATTAATTTGATGAGTCGATTTGTGTGCTTCTCAAAAGAAAATTTAGAACTTAAATAGTTATATACATATCAATACAGTTTTGAAAAATACATGTCGTTTCGTAACAATTTCATAAAAAATGATTTATAATCTCTTAAATGATAACCTGTATTTTTATACAGCCAAAGTTTGTATAGAATATTTTTTTAATAAAATTTTTGAATTTGGGTAATGAATATTCAAAACACCATTTACAATTTAGATCAAACTCGCATTACTACCTCGTATTTTTCATTTTTTTTATCAAAAATTGTTATACATACTTTTCAGCGAACAATTGTTCATGAGAGCAGCGGATTTATTGGTTAGCGAAGGCTACTCTGAATTGGGTTATAATTATGTCATCGTGGACGACTGTTGGTTAGCCAAGAACAGATCGGCAGATGGAAAATTAGAAGCCGACAAAATAAGATTTCCAAGCGGTATTAAAGCGTTATCGGACTATGTGAGTAATAAGGAAAAAAAATTCTGTAAAATACCACTCGTAAAATAGGATATTTGCCACCCAGTAGTAGGACATTACAAAAAATCACTTAAATGGTTTCGGATAGGCCTGATTTCCATGCCAAAGAGATCCGCTTTCATTCCAATGCACTGAATTTTACTGATCGATGAAATTACGCTAAAAGGACCATGAAAACATGTTGGGATTACAAACTTTTAAAACAAATTTTGACTTTAAAAATGTTGTATAAATGGAAAATTGTATACAGCATCTAAAACGAATATATTAAGTTTTAATCCGTTTTCAATATAAAATTCACAAAAAGTTCAATTTGAATACCTATACCAAAAGCTTGAAAATGTAATACAAGATTCCTCAACTTGATCTTATTGGAATTAAAAAAAAAATTAACATAATTTTGTCGACACTATGAATGTCATTATGTATTATTACAGAGAATTGATGCACACATGTAATTGGCAAATTTCTCCGCCATCCCTATAAGGACTGACGGGTGGGAATTTATCTAGATTCAAATTATACTACTGCTATTAATGTTATAGGTAAATTTTCTTAGGTATAATTTCTTCTGCGCTCAAGTTTAATAAGTTTGAATATTATAAACTATCATATCCTAAGCTGAGAACATTTTCGACGTTTTTACCATATTTCAATTTTTCTGCGATAATGACCGTTTTTAAATTCAAATATTTTACATGCCTACTTTATACCTTGTATACAAATTGAAATACCGTAAAAAAGCCAACGTTTAGACACCGATAATTTTCTTAAATTTAAGATTGATAATAGGTTATTTTACCAATAGTAAAGCTAATTAACACAAAATGAGTTCAGCAGAAACAAAACAAATAGTACATTGACATCCTCTTAATAATTATGATTACTGTCAATAGGTACATTCTAAAGGTCTTAAGTTTGGATTATATGAAGACTGGGGTACTAAAACATGTGCAGGTTATCCTGGAGTATTGGGACATGAAGAGCTGGATGCTAAAACATTTGCAGAATGGGATGTTGACTATGTCAAACTAGATGGATGTTATTCAAATGTTAGACACATGGACAGAGGTGAAGAAGCATTTAAATAATATAAGATGTGTTTTAAATTAAATAAATATTCACTTAGGTTATCCTGAATTTGGGAGGCATTTAAATAACACTGGAAGACCAATGGTGTATTCTTGTAGCTGGCCAGCTTATCAAGAAGAAAAGGGAATGTTAGTAAGTACCTTAATGTGTACATATTTTACATTGTTGTCTATAAATTTAAAATCATAAATTTTACCAATAGATTGACTACGCATCAATGGCTAAACACTGCAATCTTTGGCGTAACTACGATGATATTGATGACTCATGGGAAAGTATGATCAAAATAGCAGATTATTTTGCACAAAAACAAGAATTTTGGGCAAAATACGCTGGACCTGGACACTGGAATGATCCAGACATGGTAGTTAAATTTGTACAAATATTTATTTTATATATTTAAAAATATTTAATTTTTAGCTTTTAATTGGTAACTTTGGATTAACATATGATCAAAGTAAAACA